CCAGGATTTTGGGTTACCGATTCAAAATTATAGGCTGGACACCTATCCTTCATCGCCAAAAGCAGATTGACGTGCAATGTAGATATTGAATTTCTCGAATTTTCTCTACTATAATATGCATGTACATTTGAACCTTCCACTTGCTATTCTTGCTTGCTTCCTATTGCTGAAAATCGCATTAAAATTCGTTGCGTTGTTTAACAGTTCTACAGTGTTCGATTTTTTTTGTAGTAAGGGCCTAGGCCCACCCTGAAAAATATCCCTAGATACGCCAATGGTGAACACACTTCGCGCACTAGAGGTCCTCAGAGCGGCTTAGTCTAGAATACGTGGTTTGGTCCCCACATTAAAAATAATCTAATGTGGGGACCACACCACGTCTTCTGTCTTCTGCCTAAGGCGGAAAGCCCTTCCAAACGGACTGAGCACAATTTATACTATCCAGAAGTAGAATTCAAGAAAAATACACCGAGCTCGGAAAAATATTTATTTTCAACGTATTGTTTCCAATCATTCGTACTATTAAAACTTACAGCCCGATTTCTAACCTAATAACATGACATCTTATATATTTTTGTATCGTATAGCTTTGAAGGAGTAAATCATCGTGATGTACAAAACAACAAACAGTATTATGTAAATAAATAAAACGTTAAATATATGTCTCGCGTTGCCCTTATAAAACTTTAGGTCGGTAGTTATTTCTTTAACACTTCTGCTGGTCTTTTGTAACGCTATCACAGATGTGTTCATAATCGTCGGAATATTGATTTCAGACTTCATTGACTGCCTCTCTTTGGTGCACTTGTGACATTTCCTAGAAGACGCCACGCGATCGACTTCGAAGTTGTACCAGGACTTGTATTTATCCTTGAGATGTTTACCAATTAATTGACGCTCCATCATGAGCGGTGTAACTTTCGCTGGAAATTTGATTTCATATAATTTTTAATTTCTTTTTTTATAATCTTATGACAAATATGCTTATGTCAAATTGACAAGATAGCGCTGTTTATCTATTATTAATACGTGAAAAAAATATTTTGTATTTGTACGGTTGTACCCCTTTTTACGAAAATTACGCGGACGGCGGTATAAAATTTCCCACGCTCATAGTTTATACTATAGTGGAGTGCAGAATGCTAATATTTTTTTTAATTATGCATAAAAAATACATTAAATCAATTTATAAAACATTACAAACACTACTATGTATTTGACACGCACACCCATATATAATATTTTGTTTATTGTGTATTGTATTTGAGGATAGATTGATGTTGTTCAAACTTGGTCGAATTTCGACCACTCGGCGTCCACTAGTAAATATACAGCGTGTCGTTACCATCGCGACAATAAATGAACACACGTCTAACGCTACTTGCCAATAATCATAAAAAATATTAACGTTAAACAAAATCTATAATTAAAAAAAAAATATTTTTCAAACAAACTAATTAAGTAAAAAGAAACACAATTTGTAACATCCTATACAACTCGCGCCACAGCGTCGCATTACAAGCCTCTCCTTCTCATAGTATGTTTTGTCTCTTTTAAATTCATTCAACCCATTCATATGCTTTGTGACCTTTACAAATGAACTTTACGTTACAGTTTTATACGTAAGGGTGCTCTAAAATTGTTTGTTTTGGAAAATTAATAACTCTGTAAATATTGATGTTTGAAGAATGTAAATGTTTAATACAATTTTAAAAATTTATCCTCTATATGTGTATTCATTTATTGTCGCGGTGGTAACGACACGTTGTATACACAATTGTGTTCAAATATATTGAACATGTGAATATTGTTTTTGCTGTTTCTTAAAATAGAAACTATTTCAAGAACCAAATTGATATTACGGCAATTTATTTACTTATATTACAGTTTTAATGGTGGTCTTATATGATATTCGGCAAAATTCACGTATTGATAATATAGCTAAGGTGTCAATTGACAAAACTTTTTTCTGTGGTACGGCCACACGTCAGCTTTGAGCATCTGATGTTTCACAAATGGGCAGGCACGTATGTGGAAGTACCAGGGCGTCACAGAAGACCGGCGTGAAGTATAAAGGATTATACTTTCATCTGGTGAGAGGTAGAGGGGCCCAGTTTTTTTAAAGGTTTTTAGTTTTCCGTGGCCGACGGTAATTAATTAACATCAGGTGAACTGCCGAAAATATAAAATATATATGACCGAGATAATAGACACGTTTCCATTTGCAAAAATAAATATTAAAAGTAAAGAAGAAGATAGGTAAGTACTGAATATTTACAAACTATAAAAGAGTAATACTGACTCTGACAAAATACGCTGGTCATTATTTACTTTGAGCTACGGAAAATACAACGTTGAAATATACAATAGTTTGAGTAGAAAGTAGAATATGTAATATAAAAAGAAAATTATTAAGAACTCGTAAAAACATTGAAATATAAAAAAATATTCGGCAGATTTAAAAGAAGACAGATACCAATCTGATAAAATATACTCAGAAAAATTTATTTATTCATATAGGCTAAAGGCTTATTTTAAGCGCTTATTGAACGTCAAAAACTATCACCGGTTTACTAAACTAGACCTGCCAGAGAAGAACTGGCAAGAAACTTTGCGGTCTTGTCAGTTTTTTTTAATTATGTAAGTACACTAAGTAATTAAGTTAAAAAATTTTCAGGAGCCAAGGGACTTGCAAGTGCAGAGTAAGAATCATTTCCACACATCCTTGTCCTCAATGTATTCCTCGACATTATAAAAGGCACTTTCCATTAAGGTAGCTTTTACAAAATGTTAAATACTGTATAACTGATCATTATTTTCATCCGATCGATAAACAACGATAAAATATACAAACCATTTAAGTCTCGGGGTTTTTTAGGGAAAGTGAGGGGAAAAAAGAAAACGTAAATACCAAATAAATTTAATTAAGAAGTCTTTTAAAACTACACAATAAATGCTTCCGTTTGAGACCGAAATTTTGAGAACAACGTATTTGTAACAAATAAACACATCTAACTGCTATTTTATTCCTCTCCTTTTTCGCCACCTTAACATACAATACCAAATTTTGTAAATAAAAAAGAAGACAAAGTTAAAGATAAAATATGTAAATAGGTATACTATGTAAAGAAACGCTGAAAAATATGAAAAAAAGTGTTTCATATCAACTACTCTCACTCACAGAATACAGATTACAATTAAATAAATTCTAAATATTAAGTTTTCATATAATCCAATATAATCTAACGAACGATATTTTAGTGTATTTTCAAGAACAGTTTCCTTAACAAACTAAACGAAACTAATTATAGAGTTAGCTTTAAAATAATATATTATATTGCTCGCTTGCCGTAATGAAAGGATTCTGACAATCAGACAAAATAAAAAGAAGAACCTACAGAGATGCCTTCTGCACCAAAATAAAATGTAGTACATACTTATTACTGACTAAATGTTATTATATCTTTATATTAAAAATTACTGTAGAAAAAGTGTTACACTTATTCGACTATAAAATACAATAAAGTAATATGGAAATACAGGCAAACAATAAACACTGATTTACAAGTGTACAGGATACAGGGTGTTCTTTTATTTATAAATCAGACGGCCGTCACCAAAAAGGCTCAGAAAAGTCAATATACTGCTTTACAGGAGTATACAGGTGTTCTTTTATTTATTAATCACATGACAGTCACCAAGAGAGCTCAGTCAAGTTGCCGATAAAGCTTGCAGACGTTAAATCTCATCGGTGACCATCCTCCAGATGGAAGGGAGTTATCGAGATTTCTTCCCTTTATCTTCATACTAGGAGTGAGGCGTATTTATCGTAACATGTGTCTTGAGATAACAGACTGTACTTATTGCGAACAAACTTAAATAACGGTTCCTGTTCCACACAAAATGTTCCTTAACACGCTCCTCAGAAGCTTTTCTTTATTCATGCTTACGACTGTTACCTTAGTTAGAAAGAGACAAAAACTGTTACACGGTACATTTTGTCACAGTTGGTACTGAACACTTTGTCACAGGTTCTTTCTTTTTCTTGCATCGGTCTAATAGCTCTGTTGCTAGTGTTGCATATCAATAGTCTGATATCGATAGACAATCGATTATCTATCGATAGTTAAGGTAAAAGCAAAAGTATCGGTTGTCTATCGATAGTATTATCACGTGTCAATACTGTCGATAGTTTTTGTCAAAAACTAATGGCAATTGCAATACTATCGATACCATCGATACTATCACATGCATTACTATCGATACTATCGATAGTATTTGCACTCGGAGAGCCATCGATACTATCGGTAGTATCAACAATATCAGTAGACGATATTATCGATAGCACAATTCATATCCTGAATAGTTTTCGAGGTCAACTATCGAAAGTCAAACTATCGATGGTTGTGCAACACTATTTGTTACTCAACGGTAACAGTTACACAAATTGTCACGACATTGTATGAAATAACAGGCTGTTGATTTGTAACAGGTACTTGTCACTGTTACTGCTATGTAACGGATACTCGATTTAACTTAGTTTTTTTTAAATATACGATGATACGCGGGACAAAGACATTGATGAACTAAAGTGACATTACGAAATGAAGTGCCACATTGTGTTGTGTACATTTTTTGTTTAAAAAATACGGAACATCATGTGCGAGATCCATATTTGTGTGTCAATTTAAATGTCCCGCGTATCAACCGATATTTAAGAGCCTTTAGTATAGCTCACTCCTACACACTATATCTGGTTTCTGCATTTTGGAGAAGGCGTTCCCAACTCGGTAACTTTTAACATGCTTTTAGCGTTTTCGCTCAGATTTAGATACGGGGTGTTCCTACACGAGTTTCGTTTCGTCCAGGGCGCATTCGCTGAAGGTTTCGAATACAGGGTGTTCCACTAAGGCTAAGTTTCGAATACAGGATGCTCCCAAGAGGCTAGGTTTCGAATACAGGGTGTTCCACTGAGGCTAGGTTTCGCTCCGCGCCTCCTATTCGAAGACTAGGGAGGCGCTGGCGTAGGAAACGGAGGAGTCCTGCTGGTTGATGCATTGAGAGGATTGCGCGTACTTTAGAAACTTTAGGGACATCCGCGGCGAATTCGACTGGCTCCGCAACTTCGCTATCGCCTGAAATATTAAAATATATTTTTTTTATGTGAAAAGATGGCAAATGAGCTGACGGTTCACCCGATGTTGAACGATGACCGTCGCCCAGAGACATTTGTAACACCCGTAGGTTGGCAAATGTGTTGCCATCTTCAGATAAAGTGGGCCCCCTGGCTACCTCACTCGCCTCACGAAACGCAGGTGTAACACTTCTACTTTACATTGGTCTTTTCAAATGTGGGTCATTGTTTTAAAAGTGTATTTTTCTCAATAATAAATCACTACATAGTATAAAACAAAGTCGCCCCGCGGTCTGTCTGTCAATATGTATGCTTAGATGATGTGTCAATATGTATGCTTAGATATATTTGATGACTCCGTGACGCAGATGCCAAGGTATTGGCTTCGGCGTCGGGGTCGTGGGTTCGATTCCCACACGGGACAACTATTTGTGCGACCCACAGACTAGTTTTTTCGCATCTGGGTGTTTGTCCTCGTGCAATTTATGCTTGTATGACGTCCTTACAACACAGGAAAATGTTAGGAATGTTTTTGACGGTGACAAAACGGTGGCCCTGATGACTATGTTTTGCTTTGTGTTTGCGTCGATGAAGACCGTCGATACATCACCGTGTGAAGATCGCGGTTACTCTCACCGTGAAAACAATTAGAACAATAACGATGCCTCACCCGAAGAAGCACACCGATGGGATGCCGCCCGCATATGGTGTTGCCATATTTGTTCAGGTAGTCCGCGAAACCGTGCGGATCCATCTTCTCTATCAGGTCCATTCCCTGGAAACGGAGAGGAGGGCGTAACAACGAAGATTAGAACACGGATAGTAGAGAGATGTTAAAGCAAAACGTAAGGGAAAAAAAATATTTACCAAAAAACTACGCAAACAAAACGAATAAAAGAAATTTCAAAAAAAATGTAAATAATACACACTAGAGCGAGGAAAATAAAACAAACTCTGTATATATTATGAAACTGTGGTGACATAAAAACAAAAGAAAAATAAATCAATGTAATGGAAAAGAAATCAATAATATTATATAAGAGCAATATTTTCAGTAGAGACTACTTATGTGACAAAGTGGCAAACGAGCAGGCGGTTCACCTGATGTTAAGTGTTAACCGCCCCCCATGGAACTTTGCAACATCCGTAGGATTCAAGATGCGTTGACAACCTTTTCAAATTTGTTGATACGTGCCCCTTGGTGATACGTGGTGAGGTTTAAGAATACCAGTCACCCACCCCCCACCCAAAATCACGTGTATTTTTGGTACTTACAAAGAATTTTAAAATTTTTAGAAGATTATACAGATTTAGAATATAATCTAATTTAACTCCGAAAGTAAGGACCATGATAAAAATTTTACGGCGAGTCAAGGTCACCCTACACACTGCTTTTCGGATGAAAAAATAAACACACGTGGCCTCTTACTAACCACCCCCCCCCCCTTGTGATATTTCTTGATTTTTGACCCCCCCCCCCCCCCTTTTCGGAGCTTAGTTACTCCCAGTGGAACTCATGAGCGATAGATCTTCGCCCAGATCGGTTCGGCCCACCTGCTTGTCCAGCCACTCGATGCTCTGGTGGATGTGGCCCTTGGACGGGTCCCGCCACGTGTAGCGGAACCTCGAGCCCCAGTGGCAGAAGTCCGAGGAGACCACCACCAGGTTCTGCGGGTCGGCCAGGTAGGGGGCCAGGATCGAGCCGTACCTGGCGGCGAGTTGTAGCCCGTCTTTATTACATCGGTGCTGATATATGTATACCCTGACGGCTGATATATCCCTGATATGACTAATATACAGCGTGTCGTTACAACCACGACAATAAATAAACACACATATAGAGGATAACTTTTTAAAATTGTATCAAGCATTTACATTCTCTAAACATCAATATTTACCGAGTTATAAAATTTTACAAAACAAACATTTTTAGAACACCCTTACGTATAAAACTGTAACGTAAAGTTCATTTGTAAAGGTCACAAAGCATATGAATGGGTTGAATGAATTTAAAAGAGATAAAACATATTGTTAGAAGGAGCGACTTGTAATGCGACGTTTTGGCAAAGAATGAAAACGTCTCTAAATGTATGAATCAGTCTGTTGTTTGTTAGTTGTATAGGATGTTACAAATTTTGTTTCTTTTTTATTTAATTTAAAAATATTTTTTTTAAATTATGGATTTTTTGAACGTTTTATATTTTTTTATGATTATTGGCAAGTAGCATTAGACGTGTGTTCCTTTATTGTGGCGGTTGTAACGACACGCTGTATAGTCTAAGAGCTAGCAAAGTTTTCGTGAGAGAATTACAGGTAGGCCAGTTTTTAGATATGCCATCTCATTCACTCTCGCGGACGTCATACTGACTATCTGGCTGGCGGTAGAGGTTGCGTTAGTTGATTTCAGCAACAGCATCAGAAGCCGAATCAGAGAAGATTTGAGGAGAAAACGATAAATTGATCCATGGGGTGAACGGTCCTGTAACTTTTTTTTATGTGACAAAGTGCTAAACGAGCTGACGGTTCACCTGATGTAAAGTGATAACCGCCATGGACATTTGCAACACCCGTAGGATGATAAATGCGTTGCGGCCTTTTAATAAATTGGGCCCCGGCCACCTCACTCGCCAGACGAAACGCAGAAATGCAACACCTCTACTTCACGCCGGTCTTCCGTGTGGTCGTGGTACTTACACGGACGGACTTGCCCATATATAAGTTATGGCCTATGTGTTATTCTGATGTATAAGCTATATTACTGTAAAGTACCATTTAAATACATTCAGTAGTTTTTGTGTGACAGAGTAACAAACATCCATACATCCATACAAACTTTCTCGTTTATAATATTAGTAAGGAAGTAAGCAAGGAAGTAAGCATATAGTTGGTACTCACTTGGCCTCCTTCTCCGGCGTTAGGGCGCCAACCAGGATCGGTATGATCGTGAACCCGGTCTTGTATCTGGAATTGAAACAGTTTTAGCACGCGCAACCGACTTCAAACCTAACGGCCGCTGAATAAAGTCTAAATTCGCAGGTCGCGCCAGATAATTATATAAAACACATGTTGCAAAGGAGTTCATATATTGTGTAGCCCTAGCTCTAAGGTAGCTTTTTGTCTTTACAAGTGTATTGTATTTCGGAATATGACTTCTTTGGGTTCATTTGTTTTTACATCCAATGGGACAGATATACGCACTTGTGTACAAATCGCCAAATAAATTGAGTAAAAAAAGTCATGTAAGAAATTTGAGAGAGAGATTTGTACATAATTATCCCGAGTTGACCAACGGAAAGGGGGTGGCCTATGTTCGGCAATAGATTCGAACAGGCTGAAATGATGATGATGATTTAAAATTCACTATCTAAAATAAGGAGAAAAAATATGAGTGACCACAAAGTGAGAAATTTGAGCGAGAGAGTTGTACATAGTTCCCGAGTTAAGCAAAGGAATGGGGGAGACGTATTTCCGGCAGAGTACTCGAACATGCTGAAATAATGATGACGTAAAAGTCGCTAAATAAAATAAGGAGAAAAAACACGAATGAGCACAAAGTGTGAAAGAGCGAGAGTTTTACACATTTAAACATAGTGATCTAAACAAAGGGGGAGCTTAGCTATGTAAGCGAATTCTTTTTATATTTTTTGATTCATAAATAATTAAAAAAAAAAACTATGTTCAGCAATGGACTCGAACAGGCAGAAATGATGACGATGCAAAATTCGCTAGATAAAATAGGAAGAAAAAACATGAGTGAGCACAAAATGTGAAATTTGTGCGAGAGAGTTTTACGTAGTTATCCCGAGTTAAGGAACGGAAAGGGGGACACCTATTTTCAGCAGTGGACTCGAACAGGCTGAAACGATCATGATGATCAAGTCGCTAAGCAACATAGGAAAAATCATGAGTGAGCACCAAACGAGAAAGTTGTGCGAGTGAGTGCACACAACGTAAACCGGCTAAGATGATGATGACGATGAAACGCCAATAAGGCTGTGGAACTCGCCATGCCCCTGCAACAGGAGCTACTTAAGCTGCAAGGGTCTTTATTAAACAGCGAAGAAGCGAAGAGACTCACTCCTCCATAACTTTGGCTATGTAGGGCAGGTGCATCTCTATAGAGTGCTCGTCTTCGTCCGTCTGTACGTCCATCCACTCGAACTGGCGTGTCGCCTCCAGCTCCGCGTATACTGCGGACATACACCGAAGCTTTTGTCCATCAACTACTAGGCCGATTTCGATGGTAGGGGCTAGGGATCTTTTATACCGCCAGAGGGCGTGCGTTTCGAAATACTAGAGAATTATGAGATGGGCGTTGTCTGCGTGTGTCTGTAATGTGTGTACATATACAGTGGCAAAATATGTTTATCGGTCCTTTAGTATCCCTAGTACAATCTTTGCTTAGTTTGAGACTATATAAATTTGTTATACGTCCAGAAATATTTGTATATACACATTTAAATATATATATATGTCTGCGTGTGTCTGTAATGTGTGTACATATACAGTGGCAAAGTATGTTTATCGGTCCTTTAGTATCCCTAGTACAATCTTTGCTTAGTTTGAGACTATATAAATTTGTTATACGTCCAGAAATATTTGTATATACACATTTTTATATATATATATATATATATATATGTCTGCGTGTGTCTGTAATGTGTGTACATATACAGTGGCAAAGTATGTTTATCGGTCCTTTAGTATCCCTAGTACAATCTTTGCTTAGTTTGAGACTATATGAATTTGTTATACGTCCAGAAATATTTGTATATACACATTTATAAAATTAATAAGGATCGACTTTCAATTGATTAAAGTCTGAAGCATTACGGTCGAATTTTGACCGTATCCACATTTATAGCGTCCTGCAACAACTGTTTGTGAGGGAGTGTGTTTGTTCGCTTTCAGCGCCTGAACGGTTTAAAATCTAGATCGGAACAAAATAGCTCATAGGAAACATTTAATCACTAAGATACTTATCACTTTGTATACAGTAAAACTATTTTATTGTACCACCAGGAGAGTAATATAGTAGCCTAATAAGACAAAACAGACGGATTCCCGTGACTTTTGTCTTTGATGCCGATACAAAAATAAGCAAAGATATACGTAGAAAATGTATGAGGGGAATGGCTTTCATGGAATTTGGGATTGTATATTATATAAAAGAAAACTTTTTGTCTTCTGCACTATTCGATGCCTGGCGCAAGTCTTGGCAAAGAACAGGTCTTATGTACGGCCATAGATAACGGGGTACACTCACTCTGCTTGTCTATGGTGAGGTCGTAAAGCGGTGTCTGGTACTTGTCTAGGACGGAGAGAGCGCACCCACCCAAACGCACGTGGTGGGATGGCCCCAGAATGAAGATGCGTTTGCTGTAATTATAACATAATTCATATATCTTCTAAATAAGACGTTACACAAGCCCTTTATAGTAAAATATGCTGAAATTTCCTGTTAAACTCGTTTCGTTGTCTGCAGGCTGATTATTAATTAACGCTGCTTAAGTTAATACAGCTTTGCAGTATAGGGCTAAAAGAAATCCGTGGCGCAGTTGCCAAGGTATTGGCTTCCGCGTCAGGGGTCGTGGGTTCGATTCTCACCCGGGAAAACTATTTGTGTGACTTACAGATAGTTGTTTTGCATCTGGGTGTCTGTCCGCGTGAAATTTATGTTTGTAAAACGTCATTACAACACAGAATGGCAATGTTTAAAAAAGGCAAAAATAAAAAATACATTGCACCCGTGCGAAGCTGAGGCGAGTATATTTTTGTACACAAGGTACACCCGCGTTCCGGGGCGGTTCTCACCGCTCCCAGCCACCGATTAGCTAATTGCACAGTCGACGGCCATCGGGGTTTTGGTCCGAACTGCGACCTCGATGGCCCTTAGATGACACACCATAGTTAAACGCACGCATGAGCACATGCGTGGCCCTACCCACAGCAGAGGGCCCAAACCCGTGGGTTCTGGCTAGCCCACCGGTTCTTCGTCAGATGAAGCTTTAATAGTCTCGGGACTGAAAGCAAAAACATCAGTTAATACAAGATAGTATTTTATAACAGAGAGGATAAGGTCTTGCCTTTGCCATGTTGCCCGTCAATGCGCTTAAAACTCCGATCTCATAAAGAGGCGGCCTGTGAGGTAGCAATATTGATCCAGGTTTTCATCCGGTGACTAGTTGGAAGGAGAGCCTCTGCTCACCTGATGTTAAGTGACTACCGCAATAGACCATTTTTAAAACCGACTTCAAATATCTCGCTCTGTATTCATTTTATAATTGATTTTCAGGAGTTCCCTAAATGACTCCGGAGCCCAAGATCCAATACCAACGAAATTAATATGGGACCACGTGGGAAGCACCAGCTTTCAAATAAAAAAATAATCATCAAAATCAGACCATTCAGTCGAAAGTTCTGAGGTAACAAACATAAAAAAATACAGTCGAATTGAGAACCTTTCTCTTGAAGTCGGTTAAAAAAGTGGGCCCCGGCTACCTCACTCACTACAGAACGCGAGAGTATAATACTTCCATTTCAGGCCGCGGTACTTTCTCTAACGAGCCTGCCCATTCTTGCAACAGCTGTAGCTACCACGTGGCCACATTGTCCTGAACGCAACGTTGGCAGTTCTACAATTCGCCGCTCCCCTACCACGCACAGATGCACACGAAGTCTCGTACTTAAAGGCCTTTGCCCAGCAGTGGTACTTAAAAGGCCTCTGCCCAACAGTGGGATGTTTGGATCGTACTTACACTACTACGGGACTGACTTGTCTGTACGCGAAGGCGGCGCACGCACCACAGTAGGAATATCCAGCGTGCCTGCAAAGTTAACTCTAATAAGCGACGGTTACACGGCAGGCTATGGAAACCACTCTGTTTGGTCACCAAAGGGTAAAACGGGACCTTATTACTAAGACCCCGCTGTCTGTCTGTTCGTCTGTCACCAGGCTGTATCTCATGACCCGTGATAGTTAGACAGTTGAAATTTTCATAGATGATGTATTTCTGGTGCCGCTATAACGTGAAAAACTAAAAAATAGTAAAAAACAGACTAAAAAATATTTATGTGAGGCTCCTGTGGGTTGTGGTAGCTTATTCAGCAGTATGAAAGCGAAGAGAAAGGAAGAAATAGTATATACGTCACTTACACACTTTATTGTCCACAATACAAAGAAAGAAGGAAGCAAGATAGTCCAGAGCAGAAGGAAAAGCACAAACAGCAATGTTCTTACAAATATTAACACAGATGGTTTACGAAATAGCCGGAGAGCGTTGGAGCGTTACAGACTTCGCGTCGCATAAGCGGATAGCAGGTAACTGACTCGTTAGACGTGAGATGCGCGGTCGCAGCCGATCGACGGCCGAGCCACCGAATGACGTCACACAGACCGGTTCTTTGTTTACAATAGCCTAAGCGCGCCGCGGTGTGAAATAATATATATAATAAATTTAAGTGTGCCGTGTTGTATGTTTGTATGAATAATATTTGTTTAAGTTGTTGTGTAAGAATTATAATAAATATATGTGTGTATGTGTAAATGTGTGTAATATGATATGAGTGAGTGGTATGTAAGGAAGTCCCCACACTCCAATACAACAGACACGATTTTTTTTGCCATTTTTATAGATAACTAGCTGCTGCCCGCGACTACATCTGCGTAGACGGGTGAAAATTTAGGGTTTTATGTATTTTTGTATGCTGATTTTGATTTTGTATCATAAAAAAATAAAAGCAAAAAATTTTATAACCTTAACATTTAGGGGGATGAAAAATAGATGTCCGATTCTCCACCCTGGCCGATATGCACACAAAATATCACGAAAATCGGTCGAGCCGTTTCGGAGGAGTTCAATTACAAACACCGTGACACGAGAATTTTATATATTAGATGATACGGAACATTCGCGCGCGAGTCCGACTCGCACTTAGCCGTCTTAGGTTTTTGCCGTGCGCAAAATTCGATCCTCGACCATCGCGCGTCATTTCTACGGGTAGGGTAGGAATATGAAAAGGCAACTTACGGGGCTATTATCGCCCGCGCCGGCCCGTGCGTCAGGTCGGCCTTGGAGAGCCACAGGTCCAGCTGCCGGGAGAGCTCGCTGCCTGCAGTCCAAGGTTCGACGATTAATTCACTCGGGCGGGTTGCACATTTATGAAGGATGGTGTCAACTGAGCGACAGTTCATGATTGTTTTTATATGTGAAAAGTTGCCAAGCAAGCAGGCGGTTCACCTGATGTTAAGTGAATACCGCCGCCCATGGACATCTGCCACGCCCGAGGGTTGCAGATGCGTTGACAACCTTTTGTAGATTGGGGTTTTTATAATTATTTCAGTTCTAGTGTGTACTCAAGATAAGACCTAAACTTTTGCAAAGAGAGTAACTTTCTTGACCCAGACGTGGAAAACCCAGGTTCTAGCTGACGCTGACCAAAATTTAGACAAAGCAACAGATTAAGCCGTAAGTAACCGTGGACAGTCACAACACCAGAAAGGTTGCATGCATGCTGCCAACACGTGCTGCAGCTGTAATTTCGGCTGTGGGCTTATTAAAAAAAGAATTTCGGGCGGGGGACCCCCGCCAAGATCGAAATCCGAAATTAAAACGCGTAGATACTAGTTTCTCTGGCTCTCTATACTTTTTTAAAATCAAATAAAGTAAGTGTAATAAAGTAGGTATAATAATAATAGCCTCTATTCACTGACCAACTTACAGTTTTAACTCATAAACTATTTATAAAAACAACATTCTTAAGTTCTCAAGTTGAAAAGTTAAAAAAAATAATTCACCAACCACCTAGTTGATCAGGTTTTCTTTTGACATAGGCCTACCCCTCCTCCACTTATCTGTCCCAGGAAATCCACCGCCATACTTCTGGTAAATCATCCTACCATCTTTTTATTTGCCGTACTTTTTGTCTTTTCCCATTTCTAGGGTACCATTCCATTACATACTTTGTCCAGAGTAGGCCTTTAAATTAAGGTTTTCCCCGTCCCACATCGTCATTCAGTTAATAACTTCGTTAATTTTTAATCGTATCTTTTAATCATAACATGAAACACTAAATAAAATTTAATAAGATTAACCTTTGGTTCGTCGGAACGTAGATCTGCGCGCCAAATTGTGCTTCCGTTGACTGTCGGAACGTAGATCTACGCCAGATCGTCTATGATAAATAGTGAGCTATTTGCTGACTAGATAGAGTTAATTTGCCCGTGAAATTCGATCGAGAAATTAGCGAAGGAATGAATGAACCGTACTTTGATAGCTAAAAGAATTATTACTGATAAAAACCTATGTATTCTTTCACAACTATTTCGAATATCTCCATGTATATTTGCTCTCTCATTATATATTTGAATTACTGTTTTTGTGAAACAAATATCGAAAACGGTAAGTATTTTTTCTTTTCTTATTATTTAGTACATAAAACAATGATAGCGTATCGAAAAATGCAATATTACTAAGAATTTAACGATAAACGAAGAACATAAAATGTATGTATCCATTCGTCATCTCTGTTTCATTTTCGACTACTGATATTTCGTAGTTTGAATTACACATTCTAATCATCTTACACATCATTTTGATTCTATACAGATATTATAAATAAAATGTAAATTTGAAAAAAACCTTTCCATTTAACAGAAATTTCTTTCGTGTCAAATTGTAACGTATAAAGACTGGGAAATATAGGATGTTCATAAAAGTAATTTTTTTTGTTCTCTGGTTGAACATTATTTTTTTTAATTGATTTGAAATTACTTCATCGCTACAAAATTTAAAGATAAGGTAGAGTACATTTTATCCACTTAGTGTTAATTTACCCTATTTTAATGAAAATGAACAAAAATATATTATTGGAAGATAGAAGGGTAGTAGCACACTGCAACGGTCTATAAAAGGAGCAGCGCTACCCATTTTCGGGGCGTTATTCGTAGGTGCCGTATTAGGTATATATAGTGCCGTATTAGGTATATATAGTGCCGTATTATCCGTTAGTCATAGGTGCCGTCACCTACAGACCCTTACCGCTAGGTACGTTCCGTCGCAAATGGCGCAGACCACGACACATCCTCGATTTCCCTGACGATGAGACGACTATTGCCATCGACAGGATAAAACAATTACGCAAACACACCAGATCACACCATGGTTTTCCCCCGTTAATGGTAGAAGCGTTGTTGGAGTTTCTTCCGCCACTTCTCCCAGCGCCAACGCTTTCCGAAGTCGTAGTAATGTTAGACCTAGAAATTCTTCCAGTCAGATAATAGCTACCGATTGAGATCGGAATGCTAAACGGGTATGTTACTCAATACCCGTACAGCCTAAGCTGAGATCCCCTCTCGGGGGCCCTTGAGCCTAGTCACTCCATGGAGCGTCCACCAAAGCGCGCTAATAGCTTGGTGGCCTCCCAAACCGGTAATAATAATAATAGCGTGATGGCCTGAGCCGAGGCTCCCTCGGAAGCCCTCGAGCTTAGTCACCAAAACGCATAACCGAGGTTCAGGCTAGGCGCCCCGAGAGTGCGTCTCGGGTCCTCACGGGACATGGGTGTTTTGGGAGGTATCTGTTTCGCATTGCAAGGAGGGATGGCCCACCGCGGAATGCAACCATTGTGACGTATGTGCCGAGGAGACAGCCCAAAACGCGCTGAAAGAGTGCCAAGCCTGGACGGAGCAGCGCCGAGAGCTGTGCGCTATTGTGGGACACGACCTCTCGCTGCCATCCGTGTTTCGCGCTATGGTTGATAGCGAGAGGAATGGGGTGCTTTCCTCGCATACTGCGAGCACATTATCACCCGAAAGGAGGCCGCGGAGAGAGAAAGGGACGCAACACCCACCCTGGATATCCACCGCCGTTGACTAGGGCGCAGGAAGCTGGCCTACGCGCGCAACCTTCCCCCCTGATAGTGAAACATGGCATGGGGGTGTCTGTCGCTCAATATGGGGCTCGTGACGTGTGGGTACCAATTGCACGGGCACAGCTCTATGTAGTAGAGAGGAGGCCCAAAAAGGCCATAGTCGCGGAAGATTGCGTCCACTTGTTCCCGAGTCCCCGGCCGAAGCGACAGAGACAGGTGCAACGCGGGTTTTTTAATGGTTACCCGTTCTTATTGGGACTCTCACATACCCCCCTCCCACTACCCCGATCAAGTGGCAGGGGATACATAAAAAAAGGCACCTCGAGCGCCCTGCCACCTCAAGTCCGGCGGATCTGTAAAAGCCCCTACAGCGTGCGGAAGCTCTACACGAATTTATAACGATCGGGTCGGTTACTTAGAACTGTAATTAAACTCTACATAGTTTGGCTTAGTGGCCGCTTAGTTCTTTTCAACCGACTTCAAAAAATAAGGAGGTTCTCAATTCGACTGTATTTTTTTATGTTTGTAACCTCAGAACTCTGAGGAGTAGGAGAGAAAAACATAAATGTACCAAGTGGCCATCACAACTGCGGAATCCAATCGATCTACCCACAACATCGCTTCATGCAGCTGGAGCTTCGAGAAAGTAGGAAATCGATCCGTAACTGTAGTCTCACCTTTATGCCTCCCAGAACAGCACCATTTCCCACAACCCTCACGACCGCAAGCGTGACAAGTAACCTTGCCATCATCGGACTCAGGCGCCAAGCCACCAAACTCTTAGGGCGCTTTGGTGGACGCTCCATTGATTCATCCAGTGACTAGGTTCAAGGGCCCTCGAGAGGGGATCTCAGCTTGGGCTGTCACTCGATACCCGTTTAGTATTCCGATTCGAGGGCGCCGAAGAAGGCTAGACCTCGGCTCAATCGGTAGCTATTATCTGACTGGACGAATTTCTAAGTCTAACATGACTACCATTCCGGAAAGCGTTGGCGCTGGGAGAAGTGGCGGAAGAAACTCCAACTAAGCTTCTACTCGCCGGCGAGTGCGGTGTGATCTGGTGTGTTTGCGTTATTGTTCTATCCTGTCGATGGCAATAGTCGTCTCATCTTCATGGAAATCGAGGACGTGTCGTGGTCTGCGCCATTTGCGACGGAACGTACCTAGCGGTAAGGGTCTGTAGATGACGCCACCTACGACTAACGGATTGGCCTCGAACACGGCTAGCGCTGTGCCTTTTATAGACCGTTGCAGTGTGAAATTTAAATTGTTTGTATGTTGTAAAGGATATAAGAATAAATGCACCAAACTATGCTTGGAATGCGAAAAAACAATGTAGATTTTTTTAGTTGTAGCTGTCTTTTGTAAGGACGTTTTACAAACATAAATTTCAGGCGGACAAACACCTAGATGCGAAACAACTATCTGTGGGTCACACAAATAGTTGTCCCACGTGGGAATCGAACCCCCGACCCCCGACGCTAAAGCCAATATCTTGGCACGGAGTCATTAATAAAATCTTTTTTACTACAAATTTTATTGTTTCGTCTTAAGTGCCGAGAATAGCACAATAAAAAATTACTTTGAATTTTTTATTGGAAGTAGGAAAGTAACTTACTTGAAAATTGAAACATCCTGTGTAGTCAGTGTCGGAACGTAGATCTGCGCTACTAACGCACCAATAAATTATACTAAAATTTCTTAAGTTTTATCAAAGAAAAACACATTCTATTTATATTTATTCAAAACAACATGTATTCTGTTTTCATAACATGAAAATAAAAAACTAAAAAGATTATCATGAATTACTTATTGATATTTTTCTTTAGGATTTTGTATATATTGATAGCTTATGGTTAGAATTGCTTCTAGTAAACAAAACAAACATTCTCCAAAGGCAAAAAGATAATAAGTGTAAAGTTAAGCCATCCATACAGCTTTAAATAAACCTGAAACATATAGATTATGGTTTTCACTACAAATATTGTTCCGAAGAAAGACGCAGTTGCAAAATTGCGCGACTGTTTTTCACCGACAGACAGCGCATTTTTCATAGTGCGCTACCCGACAGACCAAAGTTTAAGTTTGTAATATATCTATGTATTTTTTTTAGGACACATTTGTACACAACATTTTCTAGTCCCAAACTAAGCAAAGCTTAGTTTGGGACTAGAAACTACTATGGGTACTAGAAAACTGATAAACATATTTAAACATACTTTTCTTTTGTAAATAAATAGATATTATACATATAGAAGCACCCAGACACTAGAAAAACACCATGTTCATCACACAATATTTTTCCAGTAGTGGCGATCGAACCCACACCCTCCGGCGCAGGAGGCAGGTACACTACCCACTACGCCATTCGGGTCGTCAATATTAATAGATCTATGGCGACGCCACGGATGGGGGAATTTGAGTTTAATAAAAACAAGTTAATAATGCGATATAAAACATTTATTAATATAAACATCACTATAATCTTAAAAACACGCATGGCATGCGTTTTTTCGAAAATTGAACAGTTGAGTTGAAGTTAATTAAGTGATGTCGAAAATCCCTTATTTTCAAAACATTTCTTATTTCTTTCTCATAGATTTTGAACTCAAATACTAGAGTTGTTTATATTGCTTACCATGATATAATATAACAAGACACACTTCCGACTAGTGGTCGCTACCAGATATCCAATTTTAAATATTTTTCGTATTTACAATTTGGATGATTTTCCTAAATACGCCAATAACACAGTTAATTATTATACAACATAGTTAAACAAGCAGTTAATATTGTTGACTGCACAACTTGTGCACGAAGTGTGATTGATTATACAAGGATTTATTTAATAGAATATTATTTTGGCAGTATCTGTTACAGAGCTAAAACAAAAGATATCAAACTAAACAAAACATCCAGATTTCTTCAACAAATATCACAAGCCGCAACTGTTCCTTCTTCTTTTTATTAATGGCTTGCTTTGTGAGTTATCACAATTACGCCAATGTCAAGTTGTTCTTAAAATTCTCAATTTTATAATATTCACATTAAAATTGTAATAGGCAAATAAAAACTTCAAAAATCCATTCCTGCAACTGTTTGACCACAGACTGTTGCCAGACATTCATAGTATGAATGTAGACATTATATTTTTTACTTTATCAGATTTAACATAGTATGTTAAATCTAGTATTGTATATACAATATACAATTTTAGTCTCTTGTACTGCTTTTCTCCATATAAACTGCCCAATATGCTAAAAACGGGTACAGTTATTTTAAAACAATATTGAACATAGATGTGTTACGAAGGTAAATTCATAGTATGGGTAATATGTGTAAGAATTTAAAGAATGTCCTTGTTCACGGTAATACAACAGACAGTTACAAGAAAATATTAAGACAGAATCAATCATATCAACATTATCAGCCGCAGGACGTCCACTGTTGAAAATAAGCCTCCCACTTAGAACGCCATAAAATCAATAATGCATTACAAAATTAATTTCCTTTTATTGCCGACAGACTAGGGAAACAGGCCTTTAACTAGGATTGAAATAAGATAGATTTATTGGAATAACTGTAACTAACAAAACTCGAAGAAAACTCAGCTTGTGTTGAGACAACACATAGCATTTGAAGTGGTTAGCTATGCTAACAATTGGAGCTGGAGGAATTGGAGTTTAAACCAGTTGTGATGATAATATTTAAAACACCCGGTGCTATTTATTATGAGACATACCATAATTACTCAATCTTCATCTTCAGTTTCATCATCCTCATTACCATCCATCATCATTGCTATCTTATCTGAGGCCTCCTTGAGCAATTTCTCGCTGAAGTTGGGGAATTTTGCGGCAAAATCCAATCTCAGGCTCTCCAAATTGAATCTCTCTTCTTCCAATTTAGTCAGACTCACTTTACTTCTCTCATATTCTTTGAACTTATTGATATCCAAGTTGGAATGTTTCTTTATTTCCTCCAAGCCAGTTATCGCATCATTGACCGCGTCCAGCAACTGTTTGTGGCCGCTTTCCTTGTCGTACCCAAAATCGACATTTTTAGTCTCGAGTTTATCAAGCAATGTTTGCTCAGTGGCCGCTAGATTGCTTAGCATATTTTGAATGTCGGATTTCTGCGATAGCTCATGGAATTGCGTGTAGTCATTTGATTTAAGATCGAGCAATCTGTCAAAAAATAAATCATGTTACAAAAATAGGAACATTAGTTTTTGCCACATAACTAGTTAGTATATGCTATTGTTTTTTAAAAGTTAAATTGTATAAGGTCAAGTATTAAATTGTATGAGCGCAACAAATGAATATCTATATAATATATATATAAATTAAAAAAGTCCACACAAAAATAATTGTGCCTAATATTACTCTATGTTATACCTGAAGTTATTATAAACATTTAATTGAACTCAACTCAGATACTGAAGACAATCTCCTATGTGACAAAAATTTATTTTGCAAATTAATAGTCATTTTTAACACCTGTATTTAGCTAAAACAGCCACTTTAATAACTTATTTCAAAGATATATGTCAATAATAAAAAAATAATAAAAGTACACTATATTTTAGTTAGGTCTACATTGCCAGAGGGTGTGGGTTCGATCCCCACTACTGGAAAAATATTGTGCGATAAACATGGTGTTTTTCTAGTGTCTGGGTGTTTCTATATGTATAATATGTATTTATTTACAAAAGAAAAGTATGTTTAAGTATGTTTATCAGTTTTCTAGTACCCATAGTACAAGCTTTGCTTAGTTTGGGACTAGAAAATGTTGTGTAAAAATGTGTCCTAAAAAAAAATATATATATATATATATTTATTAATGTTAATGTTCATCAAAAAAATCTTATGTCTATCCAGTATTAATGTATCCTCTATCTAAGTAAAGTTAATGTTAACTCCAACAATAAAAGCCTAAATTACATTTCGCACATAAATTTATAACAAATAAATGAATATTTTAAGACACATTCTTTTTACACAACATACTCTAGTCCCAAACTAAGCAATGCTTGTACTATGGGTACTAGAAAAATGATAGACATACTTAAACATACTTTTCTTTTGTAAATGAATACACATTATACATATATAATCACCCAGACACTAGAGAAACACTATGCTCATCACACAATATTTTTCCAGTAGTGGGGATCGAATCCTTTGGCACAGAAGGCAGGTACACTACCGACTACGCCATTCACGTCGTCATCATTACATAGTAATAGGTAGTAACCATATATTTTCTCAGTCTTAAAGTTTCCGAGGTTTTTTCATAATTAATTTTAGTGTTTTTTCTCTAAAGATAAAAATATTTTAATGAGAAGAAAAAATATTTTATCCTGAGTTTTTATTTAAGTAGATTATAATGATATTAGTATGTTACAATTAAAAATTTTGTTACCTTTTGCAAATTTAAATTGACAAGTGAAAAATGAAAGTGTCTCTATTGTAACTGCGTTCAAATAATTGTAAGGGGAGTTTACCAACCTTTTCTGCTCCACCACAAAGGATATTTCCTTCAACCTTCGATTGGTTTTATCCAGGTGGTCCATCGTCTTCTTGAATCTGTCCGCTAACTGTGCCATTTGGATGTCCATTTGGGTTTCTTCGCGCTCGATTTTCTCATCGACCAAACATTCTTCAAGCATGGTACGCATGAATTTCCCGTAAGCGATCTGACGATACTCGGCTTCAAACTCCGGCCCGGACACGTCAGGCTTGCTAATCGTGATGTCTGCATCGCCGATTATCGTCGCATTTTTGTTCACCTTCGTACCTCGAGCCGAGACATTTTTTTCTCTAGCTGCATTGGCGGGAATTCTACGTGAAGTCGAAGTGGACGTCGTTGAAGCGGGTCGCTTCGATTTCACGGTTTTCGCAGTGGGTACACCAAAAGATTTGCCTCTATCCGACATAATCAGATCTTAATTCGAACAACGACTTCTAACAGTTTCTTTATTATATCCATTGACGTTTATTTAAACTGCTGTCATGGCGACACCGAGTTCCACTCGTTCGTAAACTGTCCGTTTATACAGTGACACAAAATAAATAAAAAACTGTTAAATAATTTCGCAGTACAATATAGATTAAAATAAAAAAGAATAAAAATCCCGAATATGTCATTAATCATGCAATTTAAAAATGCCGAACACTTATAACGAAGCGACTCTCGAGTCCCGCATTGTCAGTTTTTTCACGAATCACGAACGTCAATGTCAATTGAAATCTCTATGATTGAATTAGGTATTTAAATTAAACATTGAAAATTGAAATATAAAAAAAATTGTTACGTATTTATAACGCTTTAATGTCAACACATACTATAAAAAACTACTCAATGAATTTAAAACAAACAACAAAATCTTACATTTTGCGCGTAATATAGTAAATATTTACTACTGATAAAGTTTATATGCACAAATAAACTTATAAGATATTGAAACAAGATTCTAGGTTATAATAGGAAGGTTTTCCTCTTTCTACTTCTCATTTTTATTTATAATTACAAAGACCTTTTAAAAAGGTCATCAACCTTTAAACAATGCCGACGTATTCACTACCTAAATATGGATAATTTTATTAGCATAAAGTTGTAGCTATTGTAATACATCTTCAAAACACTACTTTATCTTTTAATTGTTTAAAGATATGTGTAAAGATAAAAATGTTGATTCATTTCTTAAACAACACAATACAGCAAACTTACCATTTTCAGTGTACCAGCTGCCGGCATGCGAGGCGTTGCGACAAGACATTTTAGATTTTTTTTTTTTACAATAAATCCAATAGATAACAAAAAAATAATATTTGACGGTCACAAAAATAATACTTATTTTCTACAATCTAGAATTCTAGACGATTTGACGTTCATATTCCTAAACATAGATTCAGATCAGATTGGCTCAGTGCTGCCAACTACAATAAAAATGGCCCTAAAATCAAGATGTTTTACAATAACCCTAAATGCAATTTTTAAAAGCCCCAAAACACCCCGTATTTTATTCAAAAATATTGGTTAAATGAGTTTAACTTTTTGCTAAGGTAAATATAATATAACTTAGTTTTAATTATTTTTTATTACAATTTCAACAAAAATTTCATTAATTACATGAATAGACTGACTATTTTTCACTCACTGTGATGTATGAAATATTATTCAATGACTTAAAAATGTCCCTAAAATTTAATTTTCGGGCTTTTTATTTTTTCCGCCCTAAAAGCCCTAAGTTGGCAAGCCTGAATTCCCTTATCCCTGTAGGCACAAAATAATAAAATGAGGATAGATTATAGAAAAGCATGTTTGAACCCATTTAAATTAAAAAAATACCGGGAAATAATAAGATGAAACAATACCTAATTCTACTTTACTCATAATAAGACATTTCTTAAAAAGCCTCCCAGTAAATTCGATTTAAGGAGAACTGTAGAGTCGAAAGCACAGGCGAACTAGAACTAAAAAATGCATCGCGCATTTTATTTTCAGATTACATCCTTTTCCTTATAATGATGAGACTCTAGAAACCTCCATCAAAAGCATCCATCGATCAATCTTCCACCATTCCTACCACTGCCTCCCGATTCTTCATATCGGGCATTGCAAATTACTGATCAAGACACTTTCGAGGCAATTATGTCATTTACAAGTGAAGCATTAGCGCCGACCTCTACGGACCTGGCAAACGTAGTTGTATTTCGCATTTTTAGCGAATGGCGTCACCCCTAAGTGACCTGTTATTTCGTCCAATTCTCGTGGAAACAATATGAATGAAAACTTAAAAAATAAAACAAATCCAAACCCAACCATGATCCAACAAACTCTTCACAAAAGCATGTTTACAAAAACACGTAGCAACTCTGTCGGTGCAATACCACAAGAAATAATATTTAAGTCGAACGATGAAGATAAGAACAACTGGCAACAAGACCGAGTACGTCAAGCGAAAAGAAAAAGAGTAGAAACAAAATCACCACAGACAGAAAATGCAAAGAAAAAGACCAACGTGGATACATGCAATATCGACACAAAATCAATTCGAAATATTAGACGACGAAGAAAACAAAACGCATAATACAGAAACAGAAAAAGCACCAAAACCAGAACCAATCTTCGTAACTGCGGTACTGGATATCAAAACTCTTAAGAACCTATTGCTTAAAATAACAGCAGAAGGAAACTTTACTATGACCACATTAAGATCAGGACACACAGAGAAAGTAATGCCTGCAAGCATAGAAGTATACAAAAGTATACGAGAAAAATTCATTACAGACAATGTCAGCCACTACACCTACATGCTAAAACGTGAAAGGCCCTATCGAGTCGTACTGCGAGGCCTTCACATCTCGAAGGATACCTCTGAAATAAAAGAAAAACTCAAAGCGCACGGTCATGACGTCAGGCAAATTGTAAATGTACGCCACCGAAATTCTAAAGATCCTCTACCTCTGTTTTACGTAGATCTGGAACCAAAGCAAAACAACAAAGATAAATTCAAATTAAAATTCCTAAATCATATGAAAGTATCCTTTGAAGCACCTTACAAGAAATAAGAAATCATACAATGTAAAAGATGTCAAAGATTCGGACATTCAAAAAATCAATGTTACCGCCCATTCAGATGCGTCAAATGTGGAGAAGACCACCCAACCACCAGTTGTATCAAAACTAGGGATACAGAAGCTACTTGCGCAAACTGCCGAGAAAAACATCCGGCTAGCTACAGGGGATGCACAAAATACAAGCAATATAAAGAGCATATATTGAAAATCCAACCAAAAGAAATAAAAAAACACTCAAACCAAATTAATCAGATGCCTGAAACTGATAGATCCCGGCATAGAAAATTCAAAACTTACAACAGAACAACTGCAACCTATGCTGAAATGACAAAATCTAAAACAGAAAACATAGCCAACCCAGACCAACCACTCCAAATGCAACAACTAAGTGACATCTTAGACCAAATGCTCAACAGAATTCAAACTATGATGATAAACATGGTAGACAACATGATGGATCGTTTCGTCCAGCCTATAAGCAGCCAAATGAAAATACAACCCTAATCTTAGAATAATCACATGGAAAAATGGACAAAAAAAATATAAATATATGACCGCAGAGTTTCTTGCCGGTTCTTCTCTTGCAGGTCTAGTTTAGTGAACCGGTGGTAGTTTTTGACGTTCAATAAGAGAGAGAATAAAGAAATTTTGACTTTTGACTTTTGAACGCCAACGGACTAGTCGCACGACGACTAGAGCTGAAAATGTTTCTTCACATGAAGAAAATCGACTTGGTACTAATATCCGACTAGGCTTACGAGTAAAAACTACATCTCAATTAAGGGTTATACTATCTATAACACTAACCATCCATCAGGAAATGCACATGGAGGAACGGCAGTACTCATAAAATCAAATATAAATCATCACCCACTTCAATCTTTCTCTACAGACAAGATACAAGCCACTCTTATTAAAGTGAATGACAAAAGCTCGGACATTACCCTTGCTGCAGCTTACTGCCCTCCTAAACATCAAATAACAAAGGATGACTATAAAGATTTTCTCTCTACACTTGGAAATCGCTTTATAAGTGGAGGTGATTGGAACACTAAACATCAGTTCTGGGGCTCTAGACTCATTACAACTAGAGAGTGACAGCTCTATCAAACTGTGAAAGATCTTAACCTTGATTGTTTGTCCAATGGAGAACAAACGTACTGACCGACTGACCCACGAAAAACCCCCGACTTGCTGGAATTCTTTATATCAAAAAACATTGCACTCAACAATACCACAACGGAAACCGACTTTGATCTTATTTCAGAACACTCTGCTGTTATTCTCAACGTTTATAGTAAAATGATATTAACAGATACCCTACCCAAAATCTACAATAAGAGTACTAACTGAGAAAAATATCAGGATATCATTAGAGCGGAGATACAGCTTAAAATTTCGCTAAAAAAAAAGTGACGAAATAGATCAGGCTATAGAAGGACTAAACAGATTGATTCACGATGCAGCGAATAGGTCTACATGCTCTCAAAAATCGAGAACTGCAAAAGAGCAAGTAAACCCTGCGTTCATCAAGGACTATATAAACGAAAGACGCAAACTTCGCAGAATATGGCACAACACTCATTACCCTAGAGATAAGACCGCATTCAATAAAGCGTCACAAGATTTAAAAGCATTAATCAAAGAATTAGAAAACGAAAATTTACAATCATATCTTGCAAACTTGACATATACCTGTGACAAACTATTCATTGTGGAAGGCTACCAAAAATCTAAAGCGTCCCAAAAACAACAAGTTACACCATTAAGAAACAATCGAGGTCTTGGGCCCTCTCCGACTCCGAAAAAGCTAACACCTATGCAGATCACCTACATAATGTTTTTGAACCACTTCCTAGCAACAATCAACACCTGCACAATGAAATAGAGAACTACCTCAGATCACCAACTCAGATGTGCTTACCACTAAAGCATGTTGCACCAGGCGAGTTAAGTCAGGAAATTTTAAAACTACAGAAAGGCAAAAGTCCTGGCTATGATCTTATTGACGCTACTCTCTTAAAACACCTCCCGAAAAAGGGACTACTACTGATACTGGCTATCTTCAACGCATGTTTAAAACTGTCCTTCTATCCAAGCCAATGGAAAATAGCGCAAGTAGTAATGATACTGAAACCGGGAAAACCAGCTCAAGAAGTGGCATCATATAGACCTATAAGTCTCCTTCCGGTAATTGGAAAGTTAATGGAAAAGATCATACTGAATAGAATGCAAGAACATTTAGCAGATATAATACCAACACACCAGCTCGGATTTAGAACTCGGAATCGAGCAAGTGCATCGGTTGGTTGATATCATAGGCAGAGCACTGGAAAACAAACAATATTGCTGCGCTGTCTTCCTAGACGTTAGCCAAGCATTTGAAAAAGTATGGCACAATGGGCTGCTCTTCAAAATAAAAAAAAATGCTACCACACTCTTTTTTTCTGTTGTTGAAATCCTACCTTGAAAAGAGATGCTACGAAGTAAGAACTCCTATACATCAAAATTGTACGAAATTAAGTGAGATTTTCCACAAGGAAGCATACTGGGACCAGTTCTCTACTTAATATTTACAGCAGATCTACCCATTTATTCCAATACCATCACAGCGACATACGCAGATGATACAGCACTTCTTTCGACTCATGAGAATCCCGATTTTGCATCCGAAATTATACAATCACACCTGATTCTCATAGAATCGTGGTTTCAGCAGTGGCGTATTAAAGCCAATACAGACAAGTCGGTCCTTAACTGGGCATTAACCAAACTTCTTGCCGAAAGGCAAATTTCTTGCCACACGTATGCGCGCGAAGATGAAGGCATACTTAGAATCGTTATTAAACGAATCCCTAAGGAGTTCAGCGCCGAATATATTAACGAGGACCTACGTCAGCAAGGACTCCCAGTCATTGACATGCACCTTATGCACGTTCTTCGCACAAAAAACCATTTAATATGGTAATGTGCCTGCTCCCACTCTCTGATAAGGGGAAGAAAATATTCGATGCCCGGGCAGTGTGCTCACTGACCGGCATCATAATCGAAGCTCCACGCAAGCGAAGAGCTCCTGCGCAATGCCACCGGTGCCAATTATATCGCGGTGGTCCAAAAGCCCCGCGCTCAAAGAGCCCGGCTCAAAACGGTTGCAGAGGGGCGCCTCAGAGGTCTTCCCCCCGCGCAACCGTACTTCCGCAACCACTTCCCCCAGAGGTATTGGTCCCCGCGCCAGCACCAAAGGTCAAAGCATGGACTAAACCTCGGATGGTACAACGGCCGACTCCGACCAGTATCATGACCCCCCCAATCAGCAATGCCCGCGCCCGCGGAGCAGGGCGGCATAGACAGCGACATTTCCCTTGTCTGCGAACTCGCAGAGAAGATTGATCTCGCTGAGATTAGCACTTTCGCGTACAAAATTAGGTCCGTGAGAAATATCCAGGAACGTATAAGGGCTTTGGCCGACCACACAGCAGTGGTCGAAGCTCTAAAAAGCGTGCGATAATTGCCTTCATTAGCCTCAATCATTGTCCGTCGTATTTTTCAACGCCAACTCCCTGAATAGTAATAGTAGGGATGAAATTAGAGAGTTTCTAACTGCCCATAATAGACATAATGCTAGTGCAAGAGACACGTTTCAAACCAAGCATGCGCGATCCGCTAATCGCAAATCATAAAATCATACGCAATGATCCATCAGACCGCCCGGGTGGTGGAACGCTCATTTATTACGGACGAGCCAGCCCATTCGTGCAACAGCCGAGGCTGCTGCGTGGCCCTAGCAAATTTGGTTTTGGCAAAAGAAGCAACAATGGCAAAAGAATGATTAATATGGCCTTTGAAAATAATCTTGCATTTATGAATAGCTTTTTCAATAAAAATTATAAGTTAAAGTGGACATCATCTTAAGGAACATTTAGAAATGAAATAGATTATATACTCGCGTATATAATAACTCGCGAATAAAATAGATTATATGCACGCAAAATCAAACTACAACCCTAAAAGATGAAAGCTTTTAAAAAATAAAAAAGATAAACTTAATTTAAGACCTATTTCAGAAGTAAGTAAAAAAATAAGTAAAAGTAATAAGAAGGAAAGAGTGAAAAGAAAATTAGACATACTCAACACACACACACACTCACAATCACATAAAAAGGTCAGAAGGAGTTAGAAAAGCCTTATAAGACCTGGTGGAGTCAAAACATTGGATACCAAACAATAAGAATAAACCAGGAAAGCTGGAGACCATAAGAAGAACTATAATCCAAATCGCAACACGCGGACCAATCAATACAAGACCAGCACGGCAAAAATAAAATCGGAAAAAACCGGCGAAGAGTCCCCTATAGCGAAAGGCGTAAGACAAGGAGACCCGTTACGCTCAAAACTTTTTTCTGCAATATTATAAAGTGTATTTAGGAACATAGACTGGAAAATTTTTGCCATAAATATTAACGGGAAAGAATTCAACCATTTAAGGTTCGCAGATGAATTAATATTAATCACTGACAGCACTAGTACACTGCGACATATGCTGCAACAGTTATGAGAAAATAATTTAAAAACCAGCCAAGTGCGCAATCATATAAAAAAGGCAATAAAGTTATGTCTGTTGTATGAGAGCCCCACTTAAAAAAAAATTTCTGATTCCCTTTATTTTTTCTTAAAACGTCAACAGAAATAAAGCATCTGTGAAAATTTCAACTGTCTAAATACAATCGAGATACATGTATCAAACAGATGCTAGCAGTCTAGCTAGCATCTGTCTCTTTGTTTGAACTCGCTAATCTCAGCGACTACTGGTCCGATTAAAAAAATTCTTGCACTGTTAGATAACCAATTTTTGAGTTAGGGTACTTTTTAAGCACGATATGAAATAAGCGAAAAGCTAGTGTACATTAAAATATCACTTTAAATACCACCTCCTGGGAAACAATTACTGTGGGTCACACAAATAATTGTCGTGTGAGAATCGAACCCACGCCGAAGGCAATGCCTTGACAACTGCGCAATGGTCTAGCGAGTGGTGTTCGCGAAATAAGCACAATTTTGTCTGAGCCACATCCAGTGACGATCTCAGCTTGAATTATGTGCCTTTTCGAGAGAAGTTACGTTTATATGAAGTTTAGTTTATAATATGAAGTTGAAAATGGAATTCGCCATTGCACAATTTTACACCGACATTGCGCGGGATTTTATATGCAGAAAGGCCACTTCCAGTAAGCGAACTTAAAAACTGAACCAGCTAATTTGTGGCTTGGTCATTACTTGCAGTGAGAATAATGCGTTCACATAACCAAGAATTATCCTGATATCATCAGAAAAATTCTTGGTTTGTTTGGTTTATGTTTAGTTCAGTATTTGGAGAACTTTCAAGTGTTCAACATGAAAGTTCTCCAAATACTGAACCTATCCGTTTGTTTTCGGAGAAAACGACTGTACCAAGTATTTTCGGAAGACACACCTGCCCATTTTTCTCTGAAAGCATATCCATTCTGCCTTCTCAAATTTTAACAGAACATCGGAAAATTCTTGGGCATGTAAACGGAGTCCGCACGTTAACTGTGAACCGCAACTTATGTTTTTGAGACCAGAGATAAGAACGCTTCTGTGAGGCATTTATTTCTTCGCTTTAGTCCCCTGAGTAATGAGAGGAAGGGCTTCAAAAAGCTCTACAGAAAACAACTGTGACGTTCCCCATTGGCCTTTCATCTCGGCCTTCTGTAGTGTTCTGTCAACGGCCTCTACGGATGCTCTGACAAAATTCACTCTTAGTTTACTTTTTTACTATACTTTAATGTCTATAACCTATAACTGACTCCAATGTGCGAGATAATGAATGGCGTCTATGGCGAAATGGGTATCACTAAGTCTTATTTGGTTTTCATTAGATTGTTGAGATCAAATCGTTCTCATTGTTTTTAATTCTATGGAGGCATTTTTGTACTAAATACTAAACGGTAAATTCAATTATTTAGAAAATGCTACAAAATAAGTATCTTAATTACAAAAAAAAATATGAGATACAATTTGTGAGTCAGTGACATAAAACAAACATAATTTCCGAACCACAAAGCATTATAATATCTGAATATCCTAGCCTAACCAAATCTATATTCCTAAACAGTGACAGATTTGTCCGTTGGTCTCCCTAGGCTCATTAAAGATTAAGAGAAGATTCGCTGGAAGACATGAGGCAAAGAAGGATGGAGGCGACCAATGGTACCTACTTATCAGACCCGCTTGATTTCTTATAATTTTCATGGAATATCGCCTACGCAAAGAAGCGAGAGGCGAAGGGCAAGCAACGCTACTAAAAAACCCACTATTTTGCAGCCCCCTACATTTGTCCCGCCGAGTACGCGGCCAGTAGAGAAATGTAGTGGATTTCTCTATATTGTTCCTAACAACTAACCAAATCGCAAACCAAAATTAAGAATATCCGTAATGAATAGACATGAAGAAAATAGTTGCAAAGATTTTGTAATAAATATAACATTAACATTAAACATAAAACTAGAGTTGCGTTAAAAAATGTATTGACATGAATTCTAAAGTTTAAAATATTGAATATTGATATATCGCGATTAAAAATATCGACGATATATATCGATAATAGTATAGAAAAGTTTCGATATTTTTATATATTGACATTTTTTGCCCAAGCCTATTATAAATATTGACATTTGACAATTCACATTTAATATTTCATTTCATTCATAATTCATTCATTTCATTTCATTACTTAATTTTTGCTGACGAGTGTTGTGTGGTCCGATTTGAGTGTAATATTGAAGCTAAATTAATTTGAAATCAGAAGTAAATGAAAACAAGAAATATAATTGAATCATTCGGATATAATTAACACAATTAAAATTTTTAACGTGTTTTATAAAACAGCATAAGTCTTATGACTTGGTCTAGTGAATTGTCTTCATTTTCTTAATTTACACTTCAGAGTCCAGCAAAATGCTGATTTCATTATGTAAGTGTATTTTTCAACTATATCCTGATATCCACCAACTTAATATCTTATTCACACGTTTTATTGTGACCTATTTTCTGAGGTTATCTTATTACGCCGGTCAATAATACCTTTTAAAAAAAATATTTTATTCCTAAAATACTTTAGGTTCCGTAAAAGTTAAGAATGTTGTGTAAGCAAGTTTATTGATCTATATTTAAAAGAAATACGCATAGTAGATTTTTAAACCAATTTGACTTGAAAGTTGTTTGCATTGATAAAACCACTTTCGACCGCAAAGTTCATCCTTGCTGTGAATAATTTCAGGCCTTATATACTTATTACCATCTTCTGGAAATTAAAGAATTATTTTACCTAGCCCATTATTACTTTTTTAATACGTTTTCTCACTGTAACACAGCTTTAGAGAGCTTTTACACAATAAAAGAATGTTTCAGTAAATTTATCAGTTACCAAGTATGTATAGTAGCTTTGCTCCATTTGGAACCAGAAAACATGGTGTAAATTAAGCAAAATTAAGTGCCGAAATAATGTATTTTGTCCATTAGCATTGGGGCGTTTTACCATTGTGGGAATCGAACCCACGTCACCCATCGCCTTTAATGCAATATAGTATATATATATATGCAAATTTTGTTAAATCTTGGTGCCATAATCAACAGTGAAAATGTTAATTTTAAGTGCTGACTTATAAAGGTAAATGAAAATATCATGAGGTAACCTGCATATTTTTGCAATAATAACAAAAATATCTTGAAGATATGTGAAGTCCACCAATTCGCAGTGGGGCCGTGTGGCGGAGTATACCTTAATACCCTCTACAGAGACCTATTCCCAGCAGAGGGTCATGTATAGATGAAATCACTTCACCTTTTATTCTGCAGACCGCAGAAGCACATCTGTGCTTCCCCGCCTTGCTGCAGCTCTTAGCACTGCAGCCGAAAGTCAAGGCGCTAAACCGAAAACTGCTATAGTTATGCTAAACATGGGCGGACCTCAGACAACTGATGGGGTGAGTATTACTCAGTTTTCTAAGTACTTTTATAAATAATGCTCTCTTTCTTCTGTCCTCATATCACCGAGGTGAGATCAACACTGTATTAGCTAGGCTTTTTTATCACCAGCCACCTGCTTGACGTCTTTCTTGGAAGAAACCCTTTGATCGGGAACAGTTATGTATGGGTCATGCAAACACTTATCCAGTGTGGGAATTAAACCAACAAGCCATGACTTCAAAGATAAAATAAAAATTAATAAAATAAAATTGCTTACCAAATCGGCCCCCACGTCATCTACTTTTAATAAATAAATAATAATTTTAAGCAATAAAATTCCATTAATTGATCAATTGATTGATCAATTTGAATGTCAAATCAAAAGTCAACTTATGGTTAATGCATATTACACCATTGTGGAATATCTCGACGACGCCGATGTGTGGAGTTAATACTGTTGATACTCACATAGGCTAGAATAAGACTATTATACCAGTATATTATGTTGTAAACTGATATTTTTGAAAAAGAGCAACTGTTCAGTTTCTTGCCTGTCTCTTCTCAACATAAACTATATATATATATATATATATATATATATATATAATTTTTTATGTAAAATTTGACAATTCATAAGAACATGCAAGTCTCTATTTGAATAAAGATATTTGATTGATTGATTGGTTGTTATTCATGTTTTTGCATTGAAGTGATACTTCTTTATACCAAAAGATACCTTCCAAAAACATATTGGATTATTAAGAAAAATAGAATTATCAAGTATAAATGCTTTATTTCACCACAATTCTTTAATAAAAAAGTAATATTCTTAAAAACTTAGTAACAAGTTAGATAAAATGCCATTGATTCCACAGCAGTAGATATTGGTAATATTTTATAAAAAAAACTAGTCTAATAGTTTTCTTATTAGAAATTATCTCTTAAAATTATCTGAAGTTCATAGTGAAAAGTGTTTGAAACAATAATATTATAAGAACAGGATTTCCTGATAACCTTTCTAGTCTGTTTTAATGATGTAGGTGTAGAAAAAAGAAGTCAAAAAACAGTCCCAGGTCAGATAACAGTTATTATCAGTTCTAAACTGCGCAGCTTTAAGTTGTTTAGATGAATATAAAGTACTTTTAAGTATTCTATCAGCTCAAATAAAATAAGAGTATTGGAATTTACTATGACGGAATTGTGTTGCCAAGCATTTATGAAGATTGTTCAAATATTAATTTAATTTAGCAATATTGAAGTTTACCAATATTACTTGAAGATGTTAGTTTATACAGGGAGGGTTTTGTAAGTGTATCCATTTTTTTTAATAAATTCTAGACATAAATAATGTTATATAAAAAGGAAAAATAGTTAAAATCACTCATAATTAATTAATTACATTCATTTGAACTTATCTTAAAAACTGTGTGATTTATGAGAAACTTATTTATTTTACGCGCGATCATTCATAACTAACACGCACACAAGTTCCATTCAAAAGTATACGACGCATTTATGAATGACTACCGCAGTGTTAACAAGTTCTGTTTTTAGGGAATAGAATGGCAATTTTTTTTTTTGGAAAAAAAAAAAAGTTTGTTTTTATTTCAATAAACGATTATACTACCGAGTCTGAACCTCGTGTGTGAATTTGAGCACCTTTAGAAAAGCCACCCTGCATACCAATAGTAATTCGCCCCGGCATTGCACGACTGCAATTTGGCGTGTAAACGGGTGGACCCGTAGAAAGAACGAACCCAATAACGGATTACGATATTACGATAGCCTGTGGGATGGTACATTTTTTTTATTTATTTATTTTGCACGGTTACAAAATACAAATTATTACAGACTTATACATATTACTAAACTTGCTTTGCAATAACAACCGAGAAGAACATTCAATTTGAATATGGTATTTTAATAATTTATGTAATAAATAATAGCTTTGCATATGTTTAACTTGTTCAGTAACATGACCCCACTTTCCCTTTGCAGGTCGCGGACTACCTGCTCCGCATAATGACTGACCGAGACATGATCCAGCTGCCGGTCCAGAGCAAACTGGGGCCCTGGATCGCTAGCAGGCGCACGGAGGAGGTGAAGAAGAAGTACACGGAGATTGGTGGAGGCTCTCCGATCCTGAAGTGGACCAACACCCAGGGTGTGTGCCCACTTCTTCCCTTTTGAAGAGTTACCTTTTAACCGGCCATTATAGCTTTTAACTGTCACTAAGTTCCATCGCCTAAACGCTTGGTCCTAATTATACGCCGGGTTCCTGACACTGATCAACATAGAAGTTAACAAATCACCTGCCAAATGGCTTTTCAAATGTTATTAGAGTTGCCAAAGGATTGTCAAACTCTTTGAATTGATCATAATGATCTTCTTAATGATCACAATGATCAATTCAAAGAGTTTAACTTTGAGTTAATACCCACTAAAACCGCCTCGGTGGCCACCTTCCGTACTTCTTCTTTATATATTTGGAGTTTAGAGTATAAGCATATCTAGTTTTACACACCTATCATAATATCATAATTTGTTTCTCATCAATTTTATGTCAGGGTTTGCTGGAAGAAAACTCTTTTTGTTGTGGCTGGAAAAAAAACTGTATTGTACACAGTTTATCATTATTATTATATTATACTTTGTGTACAATAAAGAAGAAGAAAAAAACGACAATTCTCTTCTACCACCAGATATGCACTAATCCTCACTGATCTCGTCCCGTCCCCCATTTCAGGCAGGCTGCTAACGGAGGCCCTGGACAAGATGCTACCAGAGTCCGCGCCACACAAGCACTACGTCGCCTTCAGATACGTGCCCCCTTTCACGGATGAGACCTTCGAACAGCTGGAGAAGTGAGGATTTCATATATCATTAGCAATGCCTGTATATGTGTGAGTGTTGTGTGCAAACATCCGTTACCGCATGTATTATTAGCAATGCCTGTACTTGTGTGAGTGTTGTCTGCAAACATCCGTCCAGACATATTTGTATTGCATTTGTATGTTGTGAAACGGGTTGGGAAGTCAGTCCCAATGACCATTGCAAGCTAGAAGATCTATCGTAGTCTTCCCTCTCGAAAAAGGTACCCCCATACTATAGGATAACGTTATCCTGTGTACGTTTTGTATGCATAAATTTCGCGTGGACAAATGCCCATATCCGAAAAAATTATCAGTGCGTCGCACAAATACTTGTTCCGTGTGGGAATCGAACCCACGACACCCGGTGTCGAAGCCAATACCTTATACGTAAGTTATTTATACACATTAACAACTATTTTTATAAAGCTGATAAGCGAGCTGATGGTTCAACTGGTGTTAAGTGATAATCGCCGCCCATGCACATTTGCATTACCCGTAACAAAGAATATTGCATGGTCCTATCGCACACTACCTCAGAAGCTGCTATGTACCTCTACAACAGTTGTTAGTATGCAATCATTGCCTTCTTTATCCTAAGCCGTAGATGTGCCCCACATTTAAGGTAACCTAGAGCCCCGAAATACATAAACTCGGCACCTCTTTTTTTTAAATAACTTAATTTTTTTACTACAATTGTCTCTTTGACACTTACTCCCCCTTCCAAAGTCTGTACACGCACGGGCCCCTGTATGATCGTAATGGCTTCGAACAAAATTATACTTCTGTATGTATGTAGTTACCATGAGAAGTTATCAGAATGCTAAACCTTATTAAATGAAACTGTCTTTACGTGATATATCGCGTCTATTTCAAGCTAAAACTCGCGGCATTTAGAATACTAAAAGCGCCTTTATGAAAGTAGAAATAAAATCTGAGAAAGGTTGTTTGAATATAAATAACATTTTAAATTGAATTTGATCTTATTCGTTCCGTTCCGTTTTAGAAGAACAATACGTGATAAAATTTTTGAATGTGCATAGATGTCTGTATACAGGGTGATACGTGATGAAATTTTTGAATGTGTATAGATGTCTGTATACAGGGTGATACGTGATGAAATTTTTGAATGTGCATAGATGTCTGTATACAGGGTGATACGTGATGAAATTTTTGAATGTGTATAGATGTCTGTATACAGGGTGATACGTGATGAAATTTTTGAATGTGCATAGATGTCTGTATACAGGCTGGCTTTTCTAAAGGTGCCCAAATTCACACAGGAGGTTCAGATTCAGTAGTATCATCGTTTTTTGAAATAAAAATAAACTTTTTTTTTCAAAAAAATTGCAATTCTATTCTCAAAAAAAAAAAAACAGAACTTGTTGACAATGCTGTAGTCATTCAAAAATGCGTCGTATACTTTTGAAACGTACTCGTGTGCGTGTTAGTTATGAATGATCGCGCGTAAAATAAATGAGTTGCCCATAAATCTGTAAGGGCTTGTGACCGGTGCCGATTTTTAAGAGGGTTTGAAGGTGCCATAAATTTGCAGGGACGGCGTGGAGCGTGTGGTGATCTTCTCCCAGTATCCCCAGTATAGCTGCGCCACAACCGGTTCCAGTCTGAACGCTATAGCGGACTTCTATAAGAACAGGTATTCCTTTCCATCCATCACTTTTACGTGTGTGGTTGTGATGGAAAATGAATAGACATTACTCAATTGAAGAACTCCATTGCTATGAAGAAATAACTTTTCTTAGTTGTTCACTTTCTTTAAGCGCGTTGAGCACTTTTTGTGTGAACAAATATCATGGAACTCGCTTAAAATATGTGTGTAATGTTATAAAATTACTTACAACTTAAAAATAAATATTAACAATTTTTTAAACATAATAATTATTTTATCACTTGTATCGGCAGTCCCCAAGTGGCCCATCACAGCTATTTCAATAAGTGCCTAAAACAAAACCTATATTGAATAAAGAAGAAACTAGCCAGGCATAGTCATGCCTCACATATGGGGCATTCCACGCGAAGCGTACATGTAAAAAAAGTTCAAGTTTAAAAAGTTTGAACATGATTTTTTTCCAAAAAAAATATTTTTTTTTAATATCCAAAAATGCAATTAGAAAGCTCATTAAATTAAGGATACACTTGACTACTTTATTTATTTCCATTTATCTTTTCAATACCGGATAATGGGATTCGAAGTGGCCAATACCTGCCGGTTAGTCACATTTTTAAAGCTCTCTAAATCGTAAACTACATTTTATACTGAAAAAATATTTTGTATCTGGATTGAGGGCACATATAGGTATAACATAATCAAATATTACTAAAATCGGAGACATCAACTTTTTTTACCTGTCCGGTTCGCGTGGAATGCCCCATATACTAGTTGTAAAATGAAACATACACAAAATTTGTAACCAACTTGTGTTATTTGTTTTAAATAAACATTAGCGCATTAATGGTGCTTGAGACTATCGATTGGTCATATAAACTTTGGATCCAATCTCGATTGATTTACTATAAGATATCCGAACAGCTGACTCGCTGTGTTCTAAACATGTCCAATAGACATTCTCAATATTCTCAATTTGCTCAACAGACGCATACCGGAGAGTATAAAGTTCAGTGTGATTGAGAGGTGGCCCACCCACCCGCTACTTGTGAAGGCTTTCGCGGAGAGGATCAAGGAGAAACTGGAGAAGTTCGACCACAGCATACGGGATGACGTCCTCATCATGTTCACTGCTCACAGCCTCCCATTGAAGGTGAGATAATTGTTACCATCATATTCACAAGACATGTTATCAAACAAACGGCCCATATACATATGATATTTATATAAACGAACCTTGAAACTTGGTGTTTCAAGTTTCAAAAGCAATCACTATATATCTTTATATATCTTTATATAATTCTTTTGTATGTATGTATGTCACTAAACTGAAAAAATTTTATAATGCTAAACTCTGCACTTAAGATGATTCAATTCCTACAGCAGCGAAAAACTTAGTACTTTCTTCTACACGAGTGATTAGCACTAAAAAAGTAGGTTCTCAATTTGACTGTATTTTATGTTACCTCAATATTTTCGTATTTGATGATTCTTTTTTTTTGAAAGCTGGTCTTCCCATGTGGTACCATAATAATTTCATTGGTATTGGACCTTGGGCTCCGGAGTCATTTCAGTAACTCCTGAAAATCAATTATAAAATGAATACAGAGCGAGATACTTGAAGTCCGTTTGGTTTTTCGATAGTATAAATATGGACTTACTAAATTACATTGAGGGAAAAGCAACTGAACTTTGTTCATGACTAGTATAAATGAGCTGAATCACCGTACGCGTGTCTGTATATTGTTATCTTGCAAATATGTATATATACAGCATGTCGTTACCATCGCGACAATAAATGAACACACGTCTAACGCTACTTACCAATAATCAAAAAAAAAATATTAATGTTAAACAAAAACCATAATTAAAAAAAAATATTTGTCAAACAAACTAATTAAGTAAAAAAGAAACAAAATTTGTAAAACCATACAACTCGTCCACAGCGTCGCATTACAAGCCTCTCCTTCTAACAGTATGTTTTGTCTCTTTTAAATTCATTCAACCCATTCATATGCTTTGTGACCTTTACAAATGAACTTTACGTTACAGTTTTATACGGAAGGGTGTTCTAAAATTCCTTGTTTTGGAAAATTTTATAACTCGGTAAATATTGATGTTTAAAGAATGTAAATGTTTAATACAATTTTTAAAAATTATCCTCTATATGTGTGTTCATTTATTGTCGCGAAAGTAAAGATACGCTGTATATATTCCAGGCGGTGTCTAGAGGCGACACCTACCCCCACGAGGTGGCAGCCACCGTCGCCGCCACCATGGGCGAGCTGAGGGTGCCCAACCCCCACCGGCTGGTGTGGCAGTCCAAGGTCGGGCCCCTGCCCTGGCTGCAGCCCTACACTGATGACGCCATCAAGGTAAGTAGTTTAATATTAAAAAAAAGATCAGATCATTATTAAAAAAAATACTGAATTAAAATGTGAACTCGCTGAACTCCACCAAAGCTATATGGACATAGTTGATCAGCGGGACAAGTTAAGTGAAATTGTGAGTGCATTCAACCAGTGCAGCAATGAGCATGAAAGGGCTTTAAATAAAATAACAGAACTAGAAATTAATTTAAAAGAGGCAAACAACTCCATCCTTGAATTAGAACAGATCAATTTATCTTGTGGCGCTAAACAAACCCAAAATTTATATGCTGAGCTGGTGGACTGTAATTCTCAAATGTTTATAGACTTGACAAAAGATGACTCTTGCATCAAGCAATCTTGTTTTTCACATAATAAACTTAAAAATACATTAAAGTTAAAAGATTTATTAATAAAACAAATAAATTATTAAAAAATAGATACACATTCAAACAAATTTATGAAATGAAAAATGAACAGTTAAAATTGTTTAAGAAAGTAAAAATGTACAAAAATAAATTAGATCAAAGTAGATTTAAGTATGACCAAGAAACACTTCAACTTCAAAGTGAAATTAAAAACTTAAATAGTACACTACAAACATTAACTGCTAAATATGAATCTTCACAAAAACAAATACAGGAACATATTCTAGCAGCTGATAATTTATTAGATCTCTGTAATTATAATTACAACAAATTTGAATCATTCACAAGCAAAAATACATGTTGTTGCTCCAACTCACATTCTCCAAACAAATTAAAAATGCAGAATATATCTGCAGACAAGTGTAGTGACTTGGTCATACATAACGAACACAATCAGCCATCTAATTACAAATGTGAAAATAAATTACATTCATCAGCTGTCAAATTGTCTAATATGTCCAACAATAAAATAATAATTGTATCAGATAATATAGGGCAAGGTTTTGGTTCTTTATTATCTAAGCATGTAAGTAATGTGTACAATATATGTTCACCAGGTGCCAGTTTCCATAATATAAAATAAAATATTAACATTACATTTAAATGAGAATAGTACAATTGTACTTCTTCATGGGGATAGTTCGTCTGTTAGGAAAAAGGAAATTATTAATAATATGGAAATGTTACTTGGCTTACATTATAAGACTAAGTGTAAATTTATAATATGCTCATTTCCATATTCCTCTTTCCTTACAGAGGAACAAAATAAATACATATATAGTCTTAACATGACTATATATAATACAACTCACCGTCATAGTGACGCTTTCTTTTATTTTGACATGAATAATTTTATTAAATCTAGTTTTAAGGTGACAAAAAATACTTGGTATTTGCCATTATATTATAAGAAACAAATTGCTACTTTAGTAGCATACAATATACAGAACCCAGTTGTACATAGTACAACTAAGAATATTTTAACATGTAATAATCCGTCATCAAACAATGTTAGTTTAAACTAAACATTGAGACAACACCTAGGCCACAGAAATTAAATATTGTACATCAAATATACAAGGCTTGGGTGGCAAAGAACCTGAAATAGAACTGTTCCTTAGAAAATTTAATATTCATGTCATCTGCTTCACAGAGACATGGTTACATAAGAATTGTAATATTGTAAATATAGAGAATTATAAAATGTTAAGTTCGTTCGTAAGAGTAAATGCTATACGCGGTGGCTCTCTTGTGTTAGTTAGAAATGATATAGTCTGTAAAAATCGACAGGATATAATGGCACTCTCTGTCGAACGTTCTATAGAATTATCCTGCGTTGAGAGTCAACAGTATATTATAGTATGCGTGTATCGACCCCCCTCCGGTGATTTCGACCAGTTTGAGTGTGTCATGGATGATGTCCTTAAGAAACTGTGTTTAACTAGTAAATCAGTCATAGTTTGTGGAGATTTTAATGTGGATTTATTACAAGTAACACAACTTAGTAAGCGGCTTTTAAATTTATTTAATTCATTCAAACTTAAAAATCTTTTTTATGAACCAACTCGTGTTACTAACTTATCCTCCACATGTATCGATAACGTTTTCTGTCACAATGAAGTATATGACAAATCTATTATAAATTATCTGAGCTCTGATCATCTTGGTTTAAAATTTTCAATAAATGAAAACATTACTACAAGTGAAATTAAGATCAGGTGTAGACCAATCACTGCTAGGAGACTAAATTCTTTTAAAGATAAAGTAGCACAGCATGTATTCCATAAAGATATCGGAGACAATAACCCTAATGATTGTTATAGATCAATGGTTGATTTTCTCATAACTTCCTATAATCATATTTTTAAACCCCGCACAATTGTTAAAAAATCAAAATTAAAATTTAGTGACTGGGCAACAGTGGGTATATATAAAAGTAGGGATTCACTGTATGAATTATATAATATGAGGCAGTGGAATCACGACCCTAATTTCCATAAACGGGTACAAAATTTTTCAAAAATATTTAAAAAAGTCTGTATACATGCAAAATCTATCTACATAAGAAATAGGATTTTAAATTCTAGTAATAAAATAAAAGCTACATGGGACATCATTACCTGTATATCTGGAAGACCCAAGAAATTCAGGGAACCTATAAAGCTAGTGATAGGCAATACACCCATAACTTCAGATAACGAAATTGCAAGTAGTTTTGAAAGTTATTTTTCAGAAATTGCAATTAATGTTACATGCACGTTAAAATCCTCTCCCATTGATGCAATTAATGTATTAAAAAATAATGTTACCTATTGTCGACAAACGTTTAAATTTAATCACATAGATACTAATGATATTATAAAAGTTTTGAATTCTATTAATCTTAAAAATACAGGAGATTTGTGGGGCATGTCCATAAAATTAATGAGTACAATAATGCCGTATATTGCACCATATTTGGCAAATATTTTTAACAAATGTATAGATTCTGGAATATTTCCAGATCTTATGAAATTCAGTAAGATAATCCCCGTTTTCAAAAGTGGGGATAAAAATGATCCAGGAAATTACAGACCTATCTCCATATTGCCATCTCTGAGTAAAATTTTTGAAAAACTAATTTTAAATCAACTCTTAGTACATTTTAATATGAACAAAATTTTCCACAATGAGCAATATGGATTCACTAAAGGCAGATCGACAACGGATGCGGGTGTCGCACTTGTCAAGCATATTTATAACGCCTGGGAAAGGTCACAAGATGCAATAGGTGTCTTTTGCGACCTTTCAAAGGCTTTCGACTGTGTAGACCACGAAACCCTCCTTCAAAAGTTAGATTATTATGGCATTCGTGACATCGCCCTCAATCTCATTGCCTCTTACCTTAATAATAGAATTCAAAAAGTATCTATAAATGATGTAAATTCCACAGGGTCCCCCATGAAAATGGGTGTCCCACAAGGATCAATCTTGGGTCCATTATTATTCTTAGTGTATATAAATGATCTCCCCTTTTATGCCAGTGAGTTATGTGATATTGTACTGTTTGCTGACGACACATCGCTCATTTTTAAGGTTGACCGAAACGTGTCGGATTATGACGACGTGAATAGTGCACTTTCGCGTATCCTCCACTGGTTTACCGTTAATAATATGGTGTTAAATGCTAAAAAAAAACTAAATGCCTTCTTTTTACCCTTCCCAGCGTAAGAAGGCGAAGTTTTAGCTTAACATTAAATAGCGTAACCCTTAATCCTGTTGAGTCCGCTGTATTCTTGGGAATTACAGTGGATTCAAAGCTCCAATGGAGTCCCCATCTATCATCTCTTGCGAACAGGTTAAGCTCCGCTGTTTTTGCAGTTAGGAAGGTTAGGCAGCTATCAGACATCGACACTGCCAGACTTGTTTATTTCAGTTATTTCCACAGCATCTTGTCTTACGGCATTTTGTTGTGGGGTAGTGCATCTGATATAAATTCTATATTTATTCTTCAAAAAAGAGCTGTCCGAGCAATCTATAACATCGGAGCCCGGAATACACTCAGAGACCTTTTTAAAGAGATTAATATACTCACTGTTGCGTCTCAATATATTTATTGTAACATTTTGTATGTTAAAAATAATATTAATAGTTATCTAAAGAATAGTGACAGACATAAACTAAATACTAGAAATAAGGACAAACTAACTACGCCATTGTTTCGTTTACAAAAAGTAAACAGGTCGTTCATGGGGCAAGGTGTGCGCATGTATAATAAAATCCCACAGTCGATATTAAGTCTGCCACTTGATGAATTTAAACGAAAAATTAAAAGTAAACTTATGGCTAAAGCCTATTATTCTATTGCTGAATATCTTGACGACGCCAATGTGTGGGGTTAATACTGTTGATACTCACGTAGGCTAAAACAAGACTATTGTACATGTACTATTATATTGTAAACTGATTTTTTTTTTAAAAAGAGCAACTGTTGAGTTTCTTGCCGGTTTCTTCTCAACAGAAACTGCTTTCCGAACCGGTGATAACTTACGAACGTGTTCATTTCTTGTAAAATTTTGACGTTTCATAAGAACGCGCAAGCGTCTATGTGAATAAAGATATTTTTATTTATTATTTATTTATTTTAATACAGCCCTGCCACAATTACAACTACACCGTGTTGTTGACTGTACAAGTGCTAACAATACTCGCTCAACACCAGTAGTACTATTGTACTTACAAGTAATGTTAACTCAATTACTTACAAATAGGATTTTACTTGAGCATTTTATCGGGTTTTCTTTGAAATATTCCATCCATACAGATAAATAAAATTGGAGTGTCTGTTTGTAATATTAAAATAACCGCTTTTTAGTAAATGCATATGGATGTATACACACTACATATACCAAAATTATATTTTTTACCATTTTTGTCTGTCTGTTTGTTCCGGCTAATCTCTAAAAGATTAGAGCTAGACCTGGAAGATCTATTCTAGTCAACCCCAAACCAACAGCCCTAACAAAATTGATGGTATACAAAGGGCTCCCTCGGTTGCCAACTTGGGGCCCTCCCAATTACTGAATCATAATATTGACCAGGGCATCGCATTCGCAAATAATGTGTATAAATTACGTGTGTATATATCTTAGATTCCGCGGTGTCTCCTCGTCATCACCGCACAATCTACAGAATGGGCATGACATACAGCCAAAAGATGGCTTGCATTAATACGATTAATGGTTTCTAACATTGTATCATTTTGGGGTCGGCAGGCGTACGCGAAGCAGGGCAGACGCCACATGATCCTAGTGCCGATAGCGTTTGTGAACGAACACATCGAGACCCTGCACGAGCTGGACATAGAGTACTGCGAGGAGCTGGCCCACGAGGTAACGTCAACAATCTTCATTTAATATATCGCTGTATAGAGTTTTGTCAACTGTGTGCTGGCCCATTTAACTCATAGTTGGCAAACAGTTATGAGCACTAACGGTCGTTAAATACCGTGGCCCTCACAATTACTCCTGCGCCAGGTGTGGGTTCGATCCCCACTTCTGAAAAAATATTGTGTGATAACATAGTGTTTTTCTGTACGAGTGTATGTCACTGAACTGCTCCTAAACGGTTGGACCGATTTTAATGAAATTTTTTTGTGTGTCTCCAGGTCGATTTGAGAATGGTTTAGTTTAAGTTTCTTTATTTGCTCATATAGGTAGTACAGAAATTTAGATTCAGTTTGCTTTTATATTTTCTTTTTTTATTGGATTTCTTAGTTGTCGGAATTAAGTCGCGTGTATGTATAATATGTATTTCTTCACAAAAGAAAAGTATTTTTGAGTATGTTAATCAGTAACCTAGTACCCATAGTACAGGATTTGCTTAGTTTCAGAGTTCAATTTTCAAAAGGTTGTCAAAGCATCTGCAACCCTCGGGTGTAGCAAATGCCCATGGGCGGCGATATTCACTTAACATCGGGTGAACCGTCTGCTCGCTTGGCAACTTTTCCCATAAAAAAAAAAAAGATAAGAAGAAAAGATTTCGGACTAGATAGCCTTGTGCAAAAATGTCGCGTAGTATTTTATTTTTTGTATTTTATAACCGCTCGTTACAGGCGGGCGTGAAGCAGATAGAGCGTGCGGCGGCGCCAAACGACCACCCGGTGTTCATAGCGGCCCTGGCTGACGTGGTGGCGAGACACCTCACTGTTGGACCAGCGGTATCCCGCCAGCTGCTCTCCAGGTGAGGGTCACCGTCAGTGACGGTCACGGCTGGTGACGCACATGCCCCGAAGTGTCCAAACAAAAAATAAAACATCTATTTTAGGGCCCCGTACCCAAAGGGTAAAACGGAACCCTATTACTAAGACTCCGCTGTCTGTCTGTCCATCTGTCACCTGGCTGTATCTCTTGAACCGTGATAGTTAGTTGAAATTTTCACACGCGATGAATGTCTGTTGCCGCTATGTAAACAAATACTAAAAAATATTTAAGTGGGGCTCCCATAAAACAGATATGATTTTTTTGCCGTTTTAACAGATAATGGTACGGAACACTTCGTGTGCGAGTGCGATTCGCGCTTGGCCGGTTTTTATTCAATCACAACAACAGCCTAGACTAATTCAATTCCACAGCGTGTCGTTACCATCGCGACAATAAATGAACACACATATAGGGGATAACTTTTTAAAGTTGTATTAAACATTTAAATTCTTTAAACATCAATATTTACAGAGTTATTAAATTTTCCAAAACAAAGAATTTTAGAACACCCTTACCTATAAAAGCGTAACGTAAAGGTCACGGAAGTTTTAAATAGTGAGGCCTTACTAAGAAAAAGTATGTCTGCACTCATGTAAGCCAAAAAGAAAAATAACTCTTTGTTTATGAAAAAGACATTAAATGCAGTTGATAATGGTTTAATTAAATAACTTGAAATTATAAATAGAAATTATTTATATTTAATTTATATAATGTTTATGTATTGAAATTTATATGTATTTAATGATTATACGTATAGTATTTATGTTTGAGTAAAGTATATTTCTATAGAATGTACCTTTGCTTTTTTTGTTTTCTTTTATTTATTTTTCTTTAATTTATTACGCGTATTTTGTTTTGCACCTGCGTCAAACTTTCTCTACTCCCAGGGTTGACTGGAAGAGAATGCTTATTAGCATTAAGTTTGCCTTTTGTTTAGCCTTAAGTTGAGGTTTAAACAATAAATTTTTAAATGAATAAATAAATAAATATGGGTAAATGTCAAAAAATTGTCATGGCACTACAGTTGTACAGTTTATATTTGTAGAACCTTCATCGACAGAGGAATTGTTACCCAGTTAGCAGCAGTAGTAGCAGCTAAAAACTTCAATTTTCCTACAATTTTTTAATTAGCTACCAAGTATACAAACAGTAATATACTAATATACTATTTATACTCAATGTACTGCTATAAACTATAACTCTTGTTAATATCTCTACTGCATCATCGGCCCAAAAAGCCATTTATCATATTTATTATAAAGTAACAGCCCATTCAAGTCCCACTGCTGGTGAAAGGGCTCTGTAATGAGTGTATCAGGAGTCAGGAAATAGTGTATTGGCAGACTTCACTTATCTTCCAAATATTTTTGTTTTGTTATTGATTCGAAAATATGCAGATACCCCAACAAAGTTTTCCTTCACCGCACTTATCGTTTATTATATTTGTTTTATTGAAGTTAAGTAATTGAAAATCATGAATCCGGATTGTAGTTGCAACATACCACTTCCCAGGTGTCCGCACTGCGTCAGCCAGAGGTGCAAGTCATCTAAGGAGTTCTTCCGGAGGCTGTGCCGAGTACCAGAGACCTCGACCAACCCAGAGCTGGAAGCGGCCCGAGTGTAATATTAACTGGAGTTCCGCATTAGCAAAATTTAAAACGACACTAAATATTTATAAATAAAAAAAAAAAATGTGTCCTAAAAAATATTTACACTTCTAGAAGAATTCATAGTCTCCAATGAGATATAGTGGTTAGAAAAAATTTAACTCTTTCGTAATTGCATTTGAAAAGTTTAGTTCCTCTAAATCCATCTTATATTAATATCAAGAAGCTCCACTTCACAAGTTCACACAATTGACTATAGATATCACATAGAATAAAATTCCTTTCACGAAGTGTAACTTTCCGTGTATTGTCCTCTTGTTTGTGACAGTCCAAATGCCTTTCTGCCTCGCTCACTAACACATTTGTATATTTTTGAACAAGGACACATTTTTATATTTTTTATACCCAACATGTTTGATAATTTCAATTGTGTCATAAATATGAATTTTGCACGCAAATTATAAGGAACTAGTGGACTTAATTATCTTTATATATATAATTCTTCTGTGAGTGTGTATGTCACTGAACTCCTCCTAAACGGCTGGACCGATTTTAATGAAATTTTTTGTGTCTTCTAGTTGATTCAGAATGGTCTAGATTCACAACTCGGTACACTACAACTTTCTTTTTAATTTTGTTTAATTATAAGTTGTCTGATTTAAGTTGTCTGTACAGGACGTCTGTTGGGTCCGCTAGTACTTATATAATATTCTTTCTGTTACAGTTAAGGTGATATTTACATTGCAATTCTATACAAAAGAGAGACTGTTATCTTAAAGTACGTGAACAAATTGAAGGCATTTAAATATTGCAGCTAGAACTGAACTTTTACATATCTATTGATTCCTATAATGAAGTCGTCGCAATCTTTAGTTGATATTTATTTTTCTATGGCAATGGGTTAAATTGTGCGTGAATAACAATCGTTTTGTTGTATATAATAGGGTAATATTGTTAAATAAACATTTTATATAAGTACTGGTATCGTTTTATTTGTGTGCCGAAAAATAGTTTTTTGTGCATGCCAAAAGAAAGGTTGAGCAGTGAAGTAAAAGATGTGCATGGAATTATTTAAAGTTATAAAAATATAAAAAAATAAAATACGACTTTGCGCACAGTAAATTTTTTTTTTCCATTAGATTTTGTGTCGTGATATAGATAGGCATTATTATTTGTTCAATTACATATGTCAATTAAGATTTTAATTAGATTCACGCGATTATTAAAAGCGTGTTTCTGTTGCATTGAAATTTTCAAAAACCGAGTCAAATATATTGGATTTTAAAAAGTTTTCAATACGCGACATTTTAATATCTCGGATCAGATTCATTTCTTGGATTATGTATGATTGTATTACACTATTTAAGTCAAACCTCATTAGTTAGAAACCGTAAATAAGTAATTACATTAATAATAGATTTTATTTACATATAATTATAATGTCCTAAGTCACTATTCAGACCTTTCCTGCGCCGAGAGCCAAGGCTGTCTATCTGCTCCAGTGAAAATTTTCTACTGGAGGATAACCAACAAAAAAAGTGGGATATTCCATTGATAAAGACAGTACAGAAGCCTATGATTTAATACTTAGATAGTGCTTTAGTGCGTGGCATTTTTTCGGTATCTAATCTGATCTTCTTTTCAACCGACTTATAGAGAAGGTTCTCAATTCGAGTGTATTTTTTTTGTGTTAGTTACCTCAGAACTTTTGACTGGCTGAAATTATTTGGATGTTTCTTTTTTATTTGAAAGCCGGCGCTTCCCATGTGGTCCCATATTAATTTTAATTGGTATTGGATCTTGGGCCCCGGAGATGCTTAGGGAACAACTGAAAATCAACTGAGAAAACAACTGTGACGTTCCCTATTGGCCTTTCATCTCGGTGTATGTACTGTAGTGTTCTGTCAACGGCCTCTACAGGTGCGCAGTCAAAATTCACTCTCAGTTTACTTGTTTGCTTTACTTTAATGTCTATAACCTATAACTGACTCTAATGTACGAGATAATGAATAGCCTCTATGGCGAAATGGGTATCAGCACCAAGTCTTATTTGGTTTTCATTACATTGTTGAGATCAAATCGTTCTCATTGTTTTTAATTCTATCGAGGCATTCATCTAATCGGTTCATAAATAAAAAAATTATATCAACTTAAAAAAAAGTAATCGCTACAGCTGAATTGTATGAAAGTATGTATGTAATGTAACAGCCTATACATGTCCCACTGCTGGGCAAATGCCTCCTCTATACAGAGGGTATCAGGGCATAGTAAGTGAAAAGTCTGCGCTTAAAATTGACAATTTCATTGGTGCCGGCACCGGGGATCGAACTCAGGTTGCTCGAGTTTATTGAATTAAAAGCAAACGGACAATGTCTTATAACGACCTTATACATGATAAAATGTTCTTAATATTTTGTAATTAGCTGTCAAGCCTAGACATACATATGTTGGGCAAAGGCCTCCTCAATAGAGGGTATTAGGGCAAATATATCAGTAAAGAAAACATAAAATGCAATCAATAATGGATTAATATTAAGGTACCTTACAAGGTACATAATTTTTTACATAAAATTTGAAGATTCATAAGAGCGCGAAAGCGTCTATTTGAATAAATATAGTTTTGATTTTGATTACTTATTAGTAGCCGCACTTTGGGGGAGGCTTACGTTCAGCAGTGGATGCCAATAGGCTGATATTGTATAATTTGGTATCATTGGGTAATGTTTGACCCGATTGGCGTGGGGCGTATTGATCCTGCCTCCTGCGCCAAAGGGTGTTGTGGGTTCGATCCCCACTACTGGAGAAATATTGTGTGATGAACATCGTGTTTTTCCAGTGTCTGGGTGTTTATATATGTATAATATGGATTTATTTACAAAAAAAAGTATAAGTAAGTTTATCAGTTTTCTAGTACCCATAGTACAAGCGTTGCTTAGTTTGGGACTAGAGAACGTTGTGTTAAAAATAAAAAATGTGTCAAAAAATAAAAAATATGTCAAAAAGGTGCTATTGGTTGCCATGGTAATACCGTGAAGTTGGTCGCATTGCGGCCAAGTTCATAATGTCGCTCTCTAGTTGTCGGTGCATCGTAAATTTTTTTCCAAAAAAGTGTAACTTTGAAAAATTGTCTATCGTTAACTCTTTTATAGAAATTGAAACGTTTTTTGGAAACATTGAGAATGCTTCTGGGTATATACATATGTCTTAAGTAGGTAGTTAATATAAATATCAAAATTGTAGATACTATTTTTATATCGGAAAGAGATGGACTTGTATTCATAAAATGTCGAAAATTCGTACAATATTCTCGTCTCCCGACAAAAAAACGATGTCCGAACTCCGAACAAGTGTCTACATATAATACATATTCGTATCAGCTGCTACCGCAACTTACTAAAGCAAATGAACAGATTCGTTTCACTTAGGAGAATTTATTACATATCATTAATAAAATATAACTATATTTTCGCATCGTCATGATTATATAAGAATTTGTCGAATTGTATTTTGCAAACAACAATCGCGATCCTTGTGTTTCCTCGATTACCGTAGTAAATGCAATTTTTAGACGAGTACCTATGTAACGCGGAAGTCGTTTATAAAGACGTGTTTACATCGATGCCATTTTTTCTATGATGTTATTACATAATTATATTTACGTTTTTCGAATAGGATGTGTTTACGATTCTGTCGTGACATGGCGCCTTGAATGATCAAATAAATTTACCTAGTTAATTAGCGTAGAATTGTAAATAATTGCTAGTCAAATCAAATATTGTTATTATTATAAATTTTTATATAATTTTTCTTGTAGGTACTTGTTGCGATACTGTAGGGTCTGATAGTTTGAAATACACCATTTATATAGCCATTCCTTAATAATAAATTGGAATTCCTTCCTCATTTGTTTATCAAATACATAAAACAAGTTTTAATCAGACAATTCATAATCAACATATTTAAACTACCATTTAACTCTCGTCACTTAACTTTAAAATGTACAAAAGTATTTAAAAAAGAAAACCGCTGTGATATATTTGAAAGTTAATTTAAATATTGCCTATTTGATATTCAATTATTCTAAACCATCAGTGGCATGTGGTCACAGCTTTTTAAAAAAAACTTAACTTTGCTTAGCTGTCAACTCTCGCTATCGTGGTTTTATTCTCTGTCTAGCGACATTTGAATTGCGCGAGTAAGAAAGAGAGGAACAATGTAAAGAAACAAAATGTCCATGGTCGTCACAGCTGACGCAACCGGGGATACCCTTAGTTAACATATTACCCGTGTTTTATGAAGTTGAAAGAAGATTTACTAATGTAGCAGAATCTTACAATTTTATTTATTTTTAATATTAATTATTTTATTTATTTGTAATATTTAATTACAAATAAATGAAATTGTTAATATTTGAGGCATGGGACATATTTTTGCTAAAATAATAACAATAATCTTTTTATAATTTTGTGATCTATGAAAATTATTTGTAAATCATATTGCAATGAAAGGAAATTTGATAAGTCATCGAATATCAATATTTAATTTAAAGTGTTGTACCAGTCCTAATAGTGTGAAATATGATAAGAAGCCGAGTAAGGCTAACAATAATAATAAAGTTGTTGGAAATTTTAAGTTTTGGTATGGCAACCCTTCATCTAAACTTCAACATATTATTCAGAAGACGTTTGTGTGTAAGTAGTTACGACGCGAGAAGGCGATTGTTCGCATGTCTTTGTCGTGTTTCTAAACACGTCGGATTAAAATGTAAACAAATAGTGTTGTCTTGAGTTAAACAAAGCGCGCCTCGGACAAACAAAATGTCGAAAGCCGCGACGGCTGGTTTCTTGCGTGTGCTGTGTTTCTGTGTCGTTTATTCGGTTTTCGATCGGGTTGATTGCAATACATTCGTCAATGAGTTGCTGCTCAGCGAGCACCGTCATGTGCACTGCACGCACGATCACCCCAAGGAAGACCAAGTAAGCGAATCAAGCAGGAAGGTTCCGAAGATGATCAT